TGATCTCATTCTGATTCAAGGAGCATCGTTAAATTAAGAAAATAAAAATAATATTTAAATATTCATGTCATTTATTAAATTATATTTAATAAAATTTATTATTACATATAATAATTATGAAACTATAAACAACTTTATTAACTTCATGTCTTTTTTAGTAATTATACATCTATAAGTGATTTTAATAAATGAAAACCAAACATAATCACAATTATTAAAATCACTTCTAAAAAAAACATCCAAATAGAAATCACGATTAACTAGTGTCACTTATAGTCAGTATCATTTATAAAATTTATGATTGTCTAAAATAATAGTTGTTCACTGCTAATCTAGACAGGTTCTAAGACCTATATTTGTTGATTACAAACAACGTATTATAATTAAAATCTATAAATGAGGTCTTATAATTAAAATCGGAGGTAATAATAATTTAGGTGTCATAGTTGGCTACATAGACCTAATAGATCTAACAAATTTGATATAAGTATTATTCTTAATTTATTTGTTTTAAAAAATATGCACTATTTTTGCTCTTGGATTTGTTTTGGTTTTAATGGTAAAAAGTCAATTCATTTTGTTTTCTGAATTTATAAGTTTTAAAATTTTTTTTATTAATTGTACATATTAATGATATGTTTTTAAATAATCCGTACTAATTTTAATTATTAGGAGTATAATTTGTGTACTAATTATTTAATTTTTATATTTAAAATAGGAAGGAAGAAAGAGTATATATTTATTTTTCCCCCCTAACATTTCAAGTTTCAACATCGTTTGTTATCTGCTATGAAGGAGCTCTAATTCTTGTGGAAAAACAAAAGTATTGCAGGTTCAGATTTTTACTCCAAATATTTCAAAGCAGCTCTCCTTTTGAATCCGGAACTCGAAAAAGAAAACTTTGCTCACAAGCCTCCCCTCTATATTTACTGTGTGAAGAAGAAGTTCATCTGTATCCCCACGAAATGCCATTACACTCTTAATATTACCCGGTAGGAAATTCTTGCTCTTATTCGCTTATTCTCTTTTGTCCAGTTTTCTGTGATTTCTAAACTTAATTTTCTCGATTTCAGTTTTCTTAATATGGATTTATTTAAGTTGTTATAACTTGTAAAGACTCTTCAAATCTTTGGTTAAGGAAAAAAAAATCAATAAAGATTGATTCAACTGATGACTCATGACAATAAATTTATGAGTTCAATATCATAGCTGATACTAGAAACTCATTACAAGATACTCCCTCCGACATCTTTATAAGCAACAACTATTATTCCCTTTTTATACCTAAATACAAGTAACATTTGCAAGTTATTTTAAATTTTTGCAGCGAATTTTCTATTTTATCCTATTAATTACTTATTTTAATATTCAATATATTTATTGTCTCATTTTTCAAACTATTATCTCTCTTTATCACACATTTTCTCTCTATTTTATCCTATTAATTATTTATTTTAATATTCAATATATTTATTGTCTCATTTTTCAAACTATTATCTCTCTTTGTCACACATTCTCTCTCTTTTATAGTTCTTTTTATTATACTCTCTCCTCTATAAGTAAGGGTATTTTGGAGAAAAAACTTCTAAATTCTATCTATTTATTATCTTTAACTAACTTTTTGATCTATGTAATGGAGTACTATATTAATTATAATAAGGGATGGAGGGAGTAACTTGCAAGTGTGCTTTTAAAATGGTCCTTAGCTTTGTGTATATAAATATATATATATATATGTATATTGCCAACGTAGTTTTTTAGCTATATAAAGCTAGCTTTAGAGGTGTTTGGCATCAAATAAAAATAAAAGTATTTTTAAAAATTATTTTTTCTCAAATTGAAATAAACTCCTTTACATATTTATTTTGTATGTCTTAAAATTATTTTTAAAATTATGATTTAATTTTCATCTAAACACTTTTTTAATGAGATACCGCCACACTGCGAATGAACATTCTGGAGATAATTATCATTTTTTATTACTTTACGAGGGTTTGAGCATTTAACTTCCACTCGCGCTTTATTTTATATTTTATCACCAAATCAAGGCTCAAAAGGTAATATTAATATACAAGAGAATTGTGTTGGTAATGAGAGTGCGAAGCACATCATTTTGTCACATTGGTTCCAAATTTTATACATGTGGAACTAATTGTTCGTAGTTTAAATTTATTTATATGCAATTACAAAAACATCCTATGTAACGCGTGAGTTATTTTTTATTACAAGAAAGCAAAATACTACTATGTTATAAATGAAGCACATAAATATGTGAGAACAAGCGTTATGACCTTACAAATTTGACTCTATAAATTTTTTAAAAATTGACTTTTATCTAACTCTAACCATTTGAGTTGTTTTAAAAAAAATTTCTTATTTAAGTTATATCCGTTGCAATAATGAAAGAAGAATTTCTTTTCCAAAAATAACAAATTTAGGTATCAAAGTCTTTTAGATAGATGTTAATAGAGGAGCATTCGGTCGTCTATGACTAACTGGAAAAAATTATAGTTGGCAAAAAAAAAAATCTGAAAAAATTTTATAGATCGAAAAAGTACATACACAAGTACATGGATCAGTGAACACACTTTCAAGACAACATTGTTGGAATTTATTTTAAAGGAAAATTATAATAAGATTAAAAAAATAATTACAAAATAATTATACACTATTTCGATTGTTATTAAGACTAATTATTTTTTTCACTTGTAACCTTATTCTAATTCTATCTTTATTTTAATTAAAGGGGGAAAAAAATGAAAAGATAGGTTGCTGACAGATAAAGTGATTGAAGAAAGAAGGGACGCGAAAAAAAGTCATAGGCAAAGACGTGGCGAGCTTATCTCTAATCATCCTTATCGCTATATCCTCATCATCTCTATCTTTTTTCACTTTATTTTATTTCATTATCCTCTGACCACTTTTCAGTTGTTTATTCTGGTCAATATTCCCCCTTGTCTGTTCTGCCAGTTGAATCCCCCTGTTCCACGGAGGCCAAACTATTCCCCTTTTTTTTTTTTTTATCTGAGCCAAACTATTCCCCTTGGACGTGCAAGTATCCGGTTTTTTAAAAAATATGTCACATGCTTGTATTATTTAAAAATCACCTCAATAAGTAATAGACAACTGAGGGGTGTTTGGCAATCTCCAAACTATGATTTCAGAAGTACTTTTTCGTAAAACGAAGTAAATTCTTTCATATATTTATTTCGTAAACCGTAAAAACATTTCGAAAAGCATGGTTTGGTTTCTATCCAAACACTCCCTCATAATCGGTATCCCGTATCCATGCACATTGTTTTTGGCCGACAATATTCCGAGGGGAAAAGAACAGAAGGTCAAAATGCTTGGTTTGATTAACTTGCGTAAGGATCGGATCCCATCGTTCACTTAAAACTTGTTAGTTCAGAATATAGCTGCTAGCCCCCGCTCCCCTTTTCTTTGCCTTCTTATGAAATGAAACTGGGGGAAAAAAACAATTAATCATTTGTTATTTATAGTCTTGACTCGATGCTAGCTCAATCATTAAATCTTAACTCAACGTCTTGGTTGAAACCCACTGCAGAGGCATCTTTTGAGTTCTGTGAATCTTTACCTCGCCAAACAAGAGTCGTTGGAGAGGTATTTGAAAGATCAGAGATGAAGAGCTGGAAACTTGAAAGGAAAATGGAGAGAAAGGGAAGGAAAAGTGAAAAGCAATGCGTCATAGAGGGGAAGCTGAGGCTGCGGCGATAGTGGGAAGAGAAGTGCTCGCCGGGAGGGAGATTCCGATTTTAGATGATGGGTGGGTGCTGACATAAATTATATTCTATTTATAAGATCTTGTTTGTAGATTACAAATAAAGTCTTATAATCAAGACCAGAGATAGTACTATCCAATTCCTAATATAAAACTTACTTAACTAATTTAAATATATTAAAAAAATTTTAACCTAATTATTTGTAATAAATAGATATTATCTTCTCTAAAGCATCCTTACTAATCATATGTATTAATTAGAATTACCATCTAATAGAATTTTTAACATATACAACTATTATAAGAACTATTTAAAAAAAGATAAATATAAAAAATAAAATAGATTGACATTTTATATTTCGGATTTAAAAATTTTTATATTAACGAATGAAAGTAATACTTGTTAGTTTTCTTTCTATATAATTTGTTCCAAGGTTGATAAACTTGTTCTCATCCTTACAATACCAAACATTACTTTGCATTACAGGTGAGATATGGTTATGGGCACATGTTAGATTATCAAATAGGAACTCCGTGCGAAAGACTTTGATTAGAGTGCTCACTCTCCATCCTTCCTCTGGCACCCCAGCATACATATCTACATATCTAATGTATAAAATGTTATATTTTACGCCATCTGTCAATAATAAGACTCGTTATATGAATTCCCGTGAAATATATGGATCCTTTTTTGGCCCTTTTGACCAGCCAGAAAAACATGGATCTCACAACTTAGCTCAGGCCTAATGACATACAGGACTCCCTACATCCATTCGCTCTGAATATGTCAGGACCTTGTAACCCAATAACAACAAATGCATAATATCAACCTTATTTTGGTCCTCACTCCTCAGAGCCCTTAGACTCCAGCAGCTATGGGAAATAAACATCATTAGAGATTAAGCATAGTACCTCAAAAGACAAAGGAAATCAATAGTAAGCTTTATCTTTGTCTTCTCAATCCACTTGTAAATCTCAATCATTAGTTCCCATGCCCCAATTTTCAATTGTAAAGATGTCAAATTCGATCTCTGAACACATTCTTTGAAATCTATTTTAACTAAAGTACTGATAGAGAAAGAGAAAAATTGAACTAAATTGAAGTAATCCCCCTCCCTCCCTCCCTCTCTACTTCAGCAATACTTGCTTTAGACTATCAGGAGCGTTCAATCTTTACCTCCTCCCTAAGTCCTGAACCTCCTACTTGACAAACAAAAGCAGAAGTTGGGTAGCAAGAAAGAAACAAGATCATGGGGCAAACTTCCCCAGAAAACTATAATGAAGAATTAACTTTTACTTCGCTACTGCAATTTTCTGGAAAATAACTCCAATGAGCGCACACATTTCTCCAGGATGGAATTTAGCCTAAACATTACCATCAAATACAAGCTAAAATTTAATACAATATCATCCTGAAAACCAAAAAATACTAATAAGACCTACCTTTTTCAATTCTATAAGTCGCCTTTGAAGAACTTGATTACCTTACAATATCACCGCACACAAGGATAATCATTACACAAAAAAGGCAACCCTTCAGCAAGCTCCCAGTCTTTCTTGACATGCTTTCCAGCAAAGCAAAGCTGAAGTCTATGAACATTTAAACTTTGCTGCAATATGTACCCCTTAGTTAGTTAATTATAGAGATAGATTTAACAAACTATTCGAGAAAGCACACCATCTGCAACAGTGATGAGAAATTGGGTGATGCAATCCTGGACATGCCCCTCTTAAAAACCTAGAACATAGGGAACAATAGTAACACTTCAGTGCAGGTCATGTCAGAAAGAGGCAGAACTCGTTCTTCGAAGCTGATAAGTCAGTTCAGGTGATGATTCAGATGTCAACCTCTCCTCAAACTCCTACAAAAGGAAAGGCATTCACAATGAAGTTAGCATTTTGCAGATGCTGCACAATGGCCAAAACTGAAATCATAGGAGCTCTGGTGGTGCTAGTGAAAATGTAAAATCATCTTGCAACGATTCCCAAAGAATGGTAGATTTGTATTACACTTGAATAATTGCCACTCACAACTTTTGCAGTTAAAAAACTCTGATACATCAGTCATCGCGCCAGTCAAATTTAGTACAATGAACTCATCATAAAATCAATAAGAACAAAGCTGTTATAACATTAATTATACTGCCCTACTTGAGCTAATGGGAGCATAACTAATGGAGAAAGGAAGTTACATTAGTTTAGAAAGTGAAGGGCCTTGTGGCAGTCTATATGTCAAGTGAACATCCACCCAAGAACCAAATTTAGGAAGGTTAAGAAAATGATTGAACTTTTACCATTTTATATGACAATACTTTCCTAAGTAAGTATTAAGCAGGGGAAAAACCAGGGCCATTGCACATAACTAAAAGAGCAGTAATTACTATAGTAAAGCATCACTAGATTGGCTGACCAAAATTCCAATACTTCCAAATTAATTGATTCACCACCGTCCCCTTCACAGACTCTGTTCATGAGGTGGAAAGTGATACATGAATTGCCAGAATGCGCAACTTCCATTTATAATTCACATCGATTAATCCCAGGGGATCCATATGCAGAAATGTAATCATTAGACTCGGCCCAATTATTTAGTCAAGGTGAAAGCCACGATTGAGAATGTTGTGGCTTTTCCATTACGTGTGAACATTTACATCATTTGCAGAAGCTAACACAGACTCTGTTCATGAGATGGAAAGTGATCCATGAATTGCCAGAATGCGCGACTTCCACTTATAATTCACATCAATTAATCCCAGGGGATCCATGTGCAGATATGTAATCATTAGACCCGGCCCAATTATTTAGTTAAGGTGAAAGCCACGATTGAGAATGTTGTGGCTTTTCCATTAAGTGTGAACATTTACATCACTTGCAAAAGCGAACACATATTAGGTGGTAACGTGTCCAGATGGCTTACGAACATTGCATCCCTCTCTGCAACTCCAAGAAGTGCCAAAGTTCACAACCATTAATCACATCAACATTACCAAGCCTTTTTCCCTATAAGTTTTTTGGTCTAGATAAATACTTAATTGGACCTTGTAGATCAAAGCACGAGGTGCAATTTGTTGCCAACCCTCCCAACCAATCTGGAAGCTATCCATACTCCCTCGGATAAAAGCTAGAACAACTAACAAGGCCAACATCGCTTGTGCTTGCAAGGCTTATTCATTTAAATCAATCAAAAATCCCCCATAGCCATACGTGGTTCAGCCTATTATCATTTTTGTCCGCGTGAATATATTTAAATTTATGCAAAAGGTGTTTGTTGGGTCTCAACTTTAATATGTATTTCATTTTAAGGGGCTGTTCAAAGCTATGAGATAATGTATCCCAATTGAATCCCAACATATTCCATATTGTCTTTGAAATATCATAGATGCACGAACAACCATAATAGAAGCCTTAGTGAGAAGATTATTATTTATTAATCGAGTGAATTAATATTTAAGTCGTCAAAAAGATATTATTTGTTCAGCCTAGCCCTCCATTTTTGGAGTTTCACATTATAGTCCTCCAAAGTGACTACTATCACTGTATAGTCCTCGAACCGAGTAAACAATAAGTTAAGAGACACAATCATTTGGTTTACTCATCTCATCACTTTGCCCTTCTATGATGATGTAGCCCCTCGAGTTTTGATGTTTTTAAAGCTCTAATGGAAAGGAAAAACTTCACATTTTATGTATATGGTCAAATAGTGGCACATGAGAATATTGTTAAGCCATATCTTAGTTATTCATAGCATGCTACAGCTCGTGCCATAGCTCATATGCATACTTGGTCCAACGTCAAGTGCCTATCTTTGCAAATTTTATATAACTACAGTGTTTTTGTACTATAGGACCTATATTTATGTGCATGCATGTAATAGTTGTGCTACAGGGGCTACGCATGAATAGGCCAACAACAACCCTGATTTGAGTATTTTACAGAGGGTAGCACCAGAGATCCACTTGACCCATCCTTGGAAAATCAATTTTTAATGACTTAGTATCTATTATCCATATCAACAACACAAAAAGGGCAATAACAATCTCCTCTTCTCATCTGTTGATATGTTTGATGAACAAATGGATTCTTCAAAAGATAAAGAGAAAAGATAGGGATTTCTTAATGATGATCATAATGACATTGGTTCCAAGGAAGAGGAATTTGTTTCAATATCTCAGGGATTAAGTTAAGGCTTAACAAGTAATAACTATAGGTCAAGTTAACATGTCTGTCAATGAGAGGACTGTAATAGTGAAGAAATTCACTTAGGACTACAAGGAGAGGCCTTTAAGGTGGAGGTTCAGATGGAACAAAGAGGCATCTTTCAAGCACCCAAGTTTTAATTTACTTTTTGAAGTACATCATATATATCAGAGTGATGCTAGGGATGAACTGCATCACTCAGAGTATACAAGCCTTAAATTTATTCAAATGTATTATGGACATAAAACCTCTCAGGTATGCAATACCATGACCACTAATTAATAACAAACCTGTTCATGGTCTTTGTTCGTGTAGGATACAAGATTCAAAGGCAGATTAAAGCACAAGATGCTAAAATAGATGTACGTGTAACATAGAACAAGGCATCAACAAAATTAAAGGGTATGAATAAAGACATGATTTAACGTAGCTTAAAAGCTTTCCGCAAATGAAAAAAATTGTATATATTTATTTAACAGCTCAACTCTTTCATCTAAATGTTGAGTTATTGAGTTCTAAATAGGTATTATAGCTCACCTCTCATTAAGATGACTCATTACAAGGCCTTATAAATTTTTTTTGATGACATGGATTTGGTCATAAATAATAACATGCATTGGAGGTATGACGAAAATTTATCAACAGACAGTCAACTAAGAGGTTATCAAAATGTTATCCTAACTCAGCCTCCGGTGGTTGCGATTTCTTAAAAGGGAGATGATTTATACCAAAGAATAATTATTTCAAGATTGCTTGTTCATATCTAAAGATTGTGATAAATTTAGGTATCAAACGTGTCATCTTTGCCAGGAAGAGACAGTTCACATCATGGGTCACTTGGTGCTAAAAAACTCGATACACAGCATACAATGAACCATAAATTTTCAATCAGAGAGAGAGAGAGAGAGAGAGAGAGAAAGTTTGTTCCTCTAAACCAATAGTAATCAAATAACCTAAATGCTCAATAAAACTCACAGCCAAAGAAAATAAAAGTGCCTTTATTATAACTACAAGAAATCATTTATGATTCAATAAAAAATATGAATGAGAATCTTACCTTCTCTTTCTTGAGCTTTGTATTTTCTTCTTCTAGACGAGAGACCTTGCCAACCAATTCATTATGGTAAGCCTGGACCATCCAACTCTGATCAGTAGCAATCCAAGATAATGTTCCAAAAAGCGGGAATAAAAAAAATCTAATCAATTGCTCAAATCTTATAGTCAATATAGGTTAAACCTGCTTTCTGGCTCGTGAACGGGCAGCAGATTCCCTGTTCTTGATTTTTCTCCTTAGCCTCCTCTCCAGCGTTTTCTCATATGCATCTGGAGTGTCCCTTTTGCGGCCTGGTCTTGTGTCAGATAAACTTCCAAACGAAGGGGAGGATGACAAGCCTGTCTTATGTTGAATGCTTTGTGGGGTTGTGGCTTCCATAGCATCCAACCCCACAGATGGACTAATAGAAGCTTCAGCAAAAAGCCCTGCTTGTACCAAGAAATCCTCCAAGGTTGTTTCACCTAGAGTCATCTCACTATCTGGACCTCTTATATCCTCTGAAAATCGTTTCTTTTGACCTTGTCGGATTTCTCTCCATACATCATCAACTGTCTTCCCACTCAAAGCCCGGGCCAGGGTCAGACTGGCCTGACGCTGAAGAGAAGATGATGATGACAAGTTCTCATTTTCTACCCCTACACACTTGTTTGCTTCAGCAGTCCATACATTCTGAAGAAGCTCATCAAGGTTCATGCTTCCCAATGGCTTCCCCAGGTCTCCTAGTTGATTTTTAACCTCATCAAGTGTAAGACTATACCATGAACTTTGCCTTGTCAATGGGGAAGGCTGCAAATGAGACTGTTGCCCATTGCCTTGAGAACCCATTGTCTGAATCCCCATGCAGCACACTTTCAACACAAAATCTGCAATTATAGTGATGTATTAAATCAGAGAATTTTTTCACCCAAAAAAAAAAAAAAAAAAACATTGAGAATTCCACTAGAAGCCAGGAACTCACTTCTCAAAATTAATACAGGCAGTTTCAAATGCAACCCAACCGTTATTCATGGACTAGAGTATTGTTAAAGAATCTTCCTCGGAAAATATAATACTTTAACACTAGTATGTTTCTGGATGATATTGGAAACGAAACTGTTTATGGGAAAAGGCACAAGACGAAGGACTGAGGCTGGCATTTGTGCTTAAATCACTTTCATTCCTCTACATTCTCCCCGAAGTATCAAACAAATGATCGTAGTACCGTCAACGTTTACTATTACACTTCGTTTATCAACATCAACACATTTACTGAATTATCAAATGAAACTATGACAAACATAGAAAACCCACCAGCTGGATTAGGCCCAGAAACAGAGACGCACGCAGGATTGAATTATATCAACAAAGTAAGCAATTAACCGATAACAGCGGTTACAAAGCAGAAGGCCCATACCTATAAATAAATAGGACAAGGATCTGATATAAAACCGATATAATCAGAGAGAAAAAGCCCTCATGGTTCTGGGTACGGCAGCTGCACAAGTAACACAAAGAAAGCCATCGAAATGGTGATCAAATTGAACAAACTTTTACGATCGAAACGCAGGGGACACCGATATAATAATTAGTTGGAAAGCTCGTTGAGAGCAATACGTTAATGGGTGATGGCCGGAGAGTGATTTGGAAATTTGACGAATGCTTGGCTTTTCTTGGTTGCCCGTTGTGTCTGATTTTGTGGGAAATATTGGCAAGTGGCAGCGTTTGGGAACAAATGTTGGGGCTCCTTGTACTTAGAGCATCGCATCACCAATTCAACTCATTTTTTATTTTTCTCAATTTATTGATTATTGATTATGTCATCCTTTTTTCGGATCAACAACTTAAATTACTATAAATTTCGACTTCAAGGTTTAGAATGCGGCCCACATTAAGGGTGTGTTTGGTATGAGGGATTTGAGAGGGAGGGAAGGGAGGGGAGGGATTTTAATCATTTTTCCTTGTTTGGCAACACAGGGAGGGAAGGGAGGGGAGAAGGATTTTAATCATTTTTCCTGTTTGGCAACACACAATTTTAGGGGGAGGGAAAAATTTTTAAAATTTCCCCTCCCCTCCCCTCCTCAACCTCCCTTCAAAATTGGGAGGATTTGGAGGGAAATGGCAATATTTTGTCATATTATGACTATTATGCCCTATATTTTGTCATGTTGTAACCATTATGTCTATATTTTGTCATGTTGTGATCATTATGCCCACACCTTAAATAAAATAAGAGCAAAATTATCCATATTAAAATATTTTTTTCCTCCCCACCCTTTCCTTCTATTAAATCCCTCCCCTCCCCTTCCTCTTATTGAGCCAAACATACCCTAAATATCTGGGGAAGAATTTTGATCTCCTTATGATCTTGCCTGACTTGTTAGATTAGGATAATAATCATGCCCTGTTAAATTTTTTAATTACCTATTTTAAAAATATTTAATACTACATCCGGTTCTAATTATATGAGCTAGTTAACTAATCTGAAAAGATTAACAAAATAAGTTAAGTTAGTTATTTGTAATAAATAGATATTGTTTTTCCTAAAATATCATTGTTAATCAAGTGTATTGACTAAAAATATTATTATTAGAAGAACTATGTTAGGAAAAAATATATAAATATAAGAGATAAAGTAAATTAAGATTTTACATTTACGACCAAAATAAAAATCAAATAAGGTTTTATATTAAAGACCGGAAATAGTAACATTCAATCATAAATTCATGTAAAATAAAAAATAGACACACAGCAATGGAGTGTTTGGATTCCTAAAAGCATTTTTATAAATTGTTTTCATGCAAGTTGAAACAAAATTCTTTTTACATGTTTACCATAAAATTACTTTTAAAAGCATAGTTTAATTTTCACCCAAACACCTTATAAAAAAATTGACAACATAGATATAAATATTAAATAACTTAATGGTAAATTAGTCTACGCGCTATATCTTCTAATTATGTTGAGGCATGCTCGTAATGTTGGGAAGTCCAATTCAAGAAAGAAAATATAAATGTACAGAAAAGATGAAAATTTAAATATCATCAATAATTAGATCAAAGTAAACATATGTATATATCATATTTACAAATTTAACTTTTTTAGAAGTGACACATGTCACTAGCACAAAAAACGAGAAATGACACCAGTCAATCTATGAGCATAAAGAAAAATTGATGATTTGTAAATATTAAATTGCTACATTTGACTTGTAAGTTGTAAATAATGTAATTAAATTTGTAAATATCAAATACCTTAGGATCTATTAGTATGAGATAAAATTCAAAGACATTATTTGTATTCAAATTTCTTACTTAAAACTTATAAGTAATTTTTCTATAAAAAATACAAGTATTATAAACTTGTTTTTCAAACTTCTCCCAAATCCTCTGGCTCTTGTTTATTATCTGTTTGAGGTAGTCCTATGTGACCTGACTTCGAAAACAGCTAAGCTGTTTAATTATTTATGACTCTTAGTTTAAAATTTAAAAAATTGTGTTAAGAATTTCCCTACTTAAATAAATTTATGAAAAAAAATTCCTAGTACTAACTATCCAGTATATTTAGACTTTGAATTTATTATTAAAAAAAGAAGTTAAAAATTACTAAATCTTAAATTAGTTTTGGTAACAACACTTTATTTAGTGTTGATAGTATTGAATTTATAAATAACAACAAATTTTTATTGATATTTTTATTTAATATTTAGTAATTTTTAACTTTTTTTTGTTATTTTTTTATTATTTACTACTATTGTTATTTAAAAATTCAAAAATTACCCTTTGAGGCATTGTTATTAAAATCGCAATTGGACTCATGAAATCGTACTTATTTATGATTATACCTTTTCTCCTCATATTGATTTGCGTGCCAATTTTGGGGTGGCTTGAAATGATTTGTAAATATTTTTTTAATTATAATTTAAGATAAATATGTAAAAAAAATTTATTATAAATCCTGACCTCAAGTGGTGAACAAATCGTGGCGAGTTGAACTGGAATCACGAACTCACGCTATGATGTACGCTACTGTATTCACAAGTCCGCATTTTCCTATAGACGGTAGAAAGATAGCAAAATAAATTATTTTACACTAATTTTTTATATTTTAAACTATATAGCATGGCGTGTTGCACATGTCTTTTTTTATTTTTTTATACATGTATACACAATAATATGAGATAGGACATGTTTGGCAATTATTTCTTTTTTGTTTCCTATATGAATTTGTGTATTTAGTTTTAACTTCATATATTAACTTTATATAAAATTCTATATTGAATATGGAAAAGTCATGAATATTGATGGATTTCATTTCATTGATTTCGATTTGAAATGTATTTATGCCAAATTATTATCTTTGTTTATTTTTAATTAGTTAATTATATACTTTTAAAAGTATATTTATTGATAGAGATATTACTACATCCGATCCTAAGTATAAAACCTTATTTATAAATTATAAATGAGGTCTTATAATTAAGATCGAAAGTAATTTAAGTTCACCTCATTATTATAAGTTTACTTAAATTCATGAGTCTCATAGCCTTAGTTTAAATAGTTTGGAGGCATTTTTTGAAAAGAAATGAGGAATAATGATGTCTTTTGCTAGGATTATGATTGATTTGAGATTATTGAAATTTGAATTCATGGTATGAGATATCAAAATTTTAATAGTATTTTTTTATTATTTTTCATTAAATATATTGTTTATTTATAAAGTTTGTTATTAACTATTACTATTTTAGGTGTTTAATATAATACTCAATTGTCTAATTTAGAGAGTTTAAAAAAATTAAATAACTTATTTAATTATAATATATATTATATTATCTCTTAAAAATATTTATGTGTATTATTAAAATATATATTAATCTAAAATTCAAGTAAATTAATTAAAAAACAATAAATACAGGTGTTTTAAATAATTTATTTACTTTTTTTGATGATGAAAAAAAGTTTGGGGACATTCGGCACTCCACAGGGGACTCGCCCCGTAGATTTTTTTTGGGTCCTGGATGGCAAAATGCTCTCCCGGCCTCATGCTCGCTCATAATTAAAAACACCCATTTTCGCAACTATTTGTGTTCGGACTTCTAGGAAAGCAAATTTTCCTTCTCTCTGTCTCTGCTTCAAACCCTAGCTCGCCTCCCAAAACGCAATTCCACCGTCATGGCTAAGAAGCGAAAGCTTCGATCATCTGAGCCCGAATCTGCCAAGACCTCCGATTCACAACCTGCGCAACAAGAACAACCCCAAGAAGAGCAAATCCACGAGGAAGTTAGAGTGGACGAACAACCAAACCCCGAAGCAACCCTAGAAGAAGAGCACCAGGGACCCGACACGATGGCCGTGGACGATGATACGCATCAGGAGGAGGTAAAATTGGAAGAAAGCGCGGATGTAAGTGTACCTCCAGAAGTTCACGCTGAAGAGCAGGATAGCGAGCACCCCGAAACGGCGGAAGGTGTAGCCGATGCTGCCCCATCTGAATCAGCTCAGGTTGATGCGAATGGAGCTGAGGAAGGCAACGATAACGATGATGAAGTTGAGGTTTTGGACGAAGAGGAGCCTTTAGAGAAGCTTCTTGAGCCTTTTACGAAGGAGCAGCTCTACACTCTTGTAAAGCAAGCTGCGGAGAAGTACCCGGATTTTATCGACAACGTCCGTCAGCTGGCGGACGTGGACCCTGCCCACCGAAAAATCTTCATCCACGGTCTTGGCTGGGACACCACTGCTGAAACACTCACGAGTGTTTTTGGGAAGTATGGTGAGATTGAGGATTGCAAGGCTGTCATCGATAGGGTCTCTGGGAAATCAAAAGGTTATGCCTTCATCCTGTTCAAGCACCGAAGTGGGGCTCGGAAGGCGCTGAAACAGCCCCAGAAAAAGATTGGGAACCGAACCACATCGTGTCAATTGGCATCCGCGGGACCAGTCCCATCGCCTGCTGCAGTGGCCCCACCGGTGTCCGAGTATACACAAAGGAAGATCTTTGTTAGCAATGTAAGTGCAGACCTCGATCCCCAAAAATTGCTTGAGTTCTTTGGTCAATTTGGGGAGATAGAGGATGGTCCTCTGGGTCTTGATAAACATACGGGTAAGCCAAAGGGATTTGCACTGTTTGTATACAAGTCAGTAGAGAGCGCAAAGAAGGCTTTAGAAGAACCGCACAAAAACTTTGAAGGGCATACATTGTATTGTCAGAAGGCTGTTGATGGTCCTAAGGGAAACAAGGGATATCAGCATCACCAGCAGCAGCAGCAGCATTCTCATCATCATCAACCTCATTATCAGCCAAGAAAGGATAAGAATAAGTATCAGCCTAGCGGTCATGGACCAGGGCCTGGACACCTGATGGCACCCTCAGCTCCTTCCGTAGGTTTCAATCCTGGAGTGGCTGCACAGGGGCTAAATCCGGCACTTGGGCAGGCCTTGACTGCTTTGCTTACTACTCAAGGCGCTGGGCTAGGGCTGGGTAACCTGCTTGGAGGTCTTGGTGGTGCACCCGCAAACCAGGCTGGGCCTCCTGCTGGATATGTCAACCAGCCTGCTGTGGGCTACGGGAACCAACCGGGAATGCAAGGGGGATACCAAAATCCACAAATGGGGCAGAGCAGTGGTGTTAGGCCTCATCCTGGCCCTGGCGCTCCTTATATGGGTCATTAGGTGAGCCTAGCATTGTGGAACTTTGCATTTTCTGAATTTATTTGCTGCTGATTTTCTTTCCTTTTTAAGGTTACTCTGTTTTTTGTCCCAAAAAAAATGTTTTCTCATCTGTGTGCCTAAAAATGAAAATGTTTTATAACGGGTAATAATTCAAAATTGACTTGACTAGTGGCAAAAGAATCAGAGTTACAAAATTTATTCGTATTTCAATGAAGAAAGAAAATGTCCAGTGCAAAAGGGTTGCTCCTCGCTTTGTTTCTCTTAAAAGATTTTGGCATGGTGGCCAATGCGCATTGCAATAGGGGAGTAATGATTTCCTTTTGAAGTGGGTTCATGCTTATGTGCATTCTTCATGCTAAGTGATTTTTTATGCATGCACTTAGAAGTACTGTTTTTTTTTTTTTCCTGGCAAAAGCTAGACACCTGGATATTGGCTTTACACCTGTCGAATAAATGTTATAAGATCTTGTAAAGGTGCTATCTAAGCATGCAACTATGTATGGATGCATGCTTCTTTTTGGGTGCAACAGATCTTGTAAGGGCGTGTTGGTGTTTGCTAGCTGTTGTTTGTAAGTGTTACAGATATTCAAGGAATTCCCGTTACTGGGCGTTCAACTAACGCTGGTCCTGGTACAAAGGGACATTTGGCCAGGTTGCTGTTGCCTTTTGATGTTGTGATACCTCTTTACTTCAGGAAAGTATAAATTTGTAGCAGGGCACATTGCTTAGACGCTGTCTGCTTACCTTCTAAATTAAAATAGTGCATATTATCTTTCCCTGTCTGGAAAGTAAGAATGACGAAATTTCCATGGACTGAAGTTGGTAAGAATATGGTGGGTTAAGCATGAGGGTGATATCAATCAGTTTTGTGGAAATAGCTGTCTGATTGATTCTTTATTTAGGGTTGGTTTTCTTTTTATTGCGTTATAAAATAAAATACTGTCCCCATTTAGTGGTTTTTGGTCTAGTAATATGTATGTTTGACGTGGTGTATGAGCCAGCTACCCAATGTCCAACCATGCCTTAGCTAGTAGTTACCATTTAAAACTCTATTGATCGCTAGGAACATGATTTCATGTTGCTTCTGCTTAGTTAGGCTGCTACTTCTGCTGTGTAGTAGCTTGATTGTGTCTTTATATTTAGTTAGTGTTTTCACCATTTCCTGTGTTTTCTTTTGTGAGTCTTTTGTTTTTTAAATTTTTTATTTGCATTTATATCAGGCTGCAAGAAGGAAAATTGAAATAATAAATGTTAATGCTCTGTGTTCCAAGTTCAATGCACATTTAGCTTCTGAACTTGTCGAATTTTATCTTTGTGAAAGAACATTCAGATGCTTGCATTTTACTCTCTTACCATTATTTAGATTTCACAAGTCTTGTTTTAAACAAACATTACGTTCTTTGCTTTGTAGTTTGGAGCAAATAGAACATGTAAATCTATTTTTGCAGTACCATTGGTATGGCTTTCATAACTTTACTGTTGTATCTGCCTTTCTAATGGATATTTTTAATGAAATTACTCTCTTTATGCTTTATGTATTCATTGTGCAGATACCCTCATAGATGCATCAATCATTTAGTTTTGGACTCTGCTGATTCTTCTGAAGTTCCCAGCACTATTCAAATGCATCCTTTAAATTTGTAATGAACCATTACCATTTGATCTCTAAAAGAACCAGATTCTGAAACTTGTATTTTCTTTTATATCAAGTACATTTTCCCTGTGACAAGTTTTTTTAAGCAATGTAGCACCTCTATTTTGAAATGTTGTTGAGGTCCTGAGGATCAGGTTGAATTTTGGGGCAGAGAAAACTTTGTGCAATAATTTTAAAAGTGTGGACACCTCCCCCCCAAAAAAAAACCACCAAAAAAAAAACCCACCAAAGGGGGGTGGGGGAAGTGTTGCGATGTGATTTGTGGTTGCTTGACATTGAAAGTCCTTGACAGCCAGATGGTTCGGAATACTTAGTTTTTATTGGAAGCTGAAAGTTATAGGGAGTGTTTGGCAACATTGAAAAGTGCTTCTCAGAAGCACTTTTCCGCAAAATGAGGCAAACTCCTCCACATATTTACTTCGTAAACCATAAAAACATTTTTGAAACCATGGTTTGGTTTCCATCCAAACACCCCTATAGTTTTGTTTTTTTTCCCGCGTATCACTGGGTCCCAGCCATGATTTATCAGAATTTCTCGTCTTGTTCTAATTGTTATTATCTATGTATTTGTCAGAGCATGAAAATTTATTTTGGTAATTTACTGATTTGTGAGTTTTCCATGCTTTTAGATTTAGTAGAACGTCTGCATTCAATTTAAAGGCCATGTGTTTTTGCCTCAATAATCAGTCAGAAAAATGAACTTAATTTAATGTGGTGAACCATTGACGTACGGGCGTACGGCTTATTTTTTTCAACAATATTCTTGACTAGCAGTAGTGGTTGCTTCTTTCATAATTTGGCATATGCTGAGCATTGACCTGGATTGTGACCTATTACACCATATTATATCTGATCAACTGGTCCCCTCTTCATAGTTTGTCATCTACATCCACTGGAGCTTGAAACATATATCCAAGGTGAGAAGTGGTCACTTGAGTGGATTGCTCTCCCTTTTGTCAAGTTTATTCTGGGATGGATGCCTTGGTCGTACAATCCTTGTTCTGCTCCATTGGTATGACTTTTTTGTTGTTTTTTCTCCTGTTGCTGTTGCCTGGAAAGGTTTTAGTTTATGGAAATGCCCCTTTTAACATTCAGAAGTTTTTAATTGATTTTTGGGGTATTCTCCATGCATTAGTGAGTGGGGTTCCAAAATTTGTTTGGATTTTGAATTAGCTGTCGCCATGCAATTTGTGGGTTGATTGATGCCCTGTTTGGTACTCTACTGTGGCTTTTAGGATTTTTCTTGACGCGGCATGGCGAAAGATAAAAATACTTAATTTATACCACGTCAAAACAAGTTTTTTTTTGGGGAGGGGGGGGGAGAGAATTTGGGGGGCCAAAATTCATTTTACATGTCTTAAGCCAAGCAGCTGCTTCCAAGTGCAAAGCTGAAGCCTAATGAAGCCCAATGCCAAACTGGGCGGTAGACAGTTTTCCCATCTTGGGTGTTATCTGTGTCATTTTCTTTGCATATCTTCTAGGCCCAACCATTAGAATGCTGCATAACATTCTTGAAGGTATCATGGAGATAAAATTGGTGATACGTTGGATGAGACAGTTCTCTGATGGATGAGGTGGTTATTATCCTTGAATTGTTTGGGCCATAACCATCAGGTGTTTTTGGCATGACGGGATATAATTAGGCACGAGGCTGATGTGATGCTGGTATGGCTTCAGTCTACTGATGAAGGAAGAGTTCTATATGTTAGGCCAAACAGATATGGAGTTGGATCATGTGTAGAAGTGGTAATTTCTGTAACATATTGGTGTGCTTCGCACTTGGGGATTTACAGAAGCACAACCTTTTGTAAGTATTCTAACCACTTATTATTCTTAAGCCAAGGAATGTAGGGTTCTAACCAAGGGCCTGATAACAATCTGACTTGCGGTAGTTTTTTTTTTTATCCCCCCGAAAAAGTTTATTTTTTTTAATATATATTTCTTCTAATAAGAATGGGTTCGAAAAATGTAGCAACTATTGGAGCTAGTATTCTTAGTTATACGGGTGTACTGTGATATGGTAATAGATGAGGGCATTTTATTGAGGGGGTGTTGCAGTGCCCCGAAAAGTAATTGGCGTATTTTTTAGAGAGGAAGGAAAAATGGCTCGGCTCCAACCGCCTAGGACGAAAACTTAGAGAAGATAAGATTGGATTTTCACTCAAGAAATTAACTAACGAGACAATTGGCGGAGTTGATTATAAATGCAGGTAAGGTTTGTTTATTGGCATTGATTATTTCCTAGACTTGAACATTTTGAATGTTTACTCTTTAATAACAAAGACAAAAACATAAAATAAATGGTCTTTTGATTCCGCTTTGTTGATTAGTTTATTTGTTGTATTTTAATTGTCATTTTGTGGTGTACGATCGATTACAAAAATATGAAATTGGCGGAGTTGCCGGGCTTGTGGCCATCATTTTTTAGCCCCTGCACGCGTCTACCAGCTAGACATTGTTGGCTTATTTTGCGCAACAAAACACGCACGAGGTAAATGAGATTTCCTTGTAGCTTGAATGGTGGAATAAAACAAACGAAAATCCTTTTTTTTTCTTTATCATATGTACAGATTGCACAAAATGCAAATTTTCCTTGAAATCTGGTAGATGCACGTATTTAATAAAACATGAAAAAAAAAAAAAAATTGAGCGTGGGCCAATTGACTCTTGGCTACCCTCATTTTACCAGATCAACCGTCACTTTTGATGGGTGGGGTATGCGAACTTAACTCGTAACTATTTAAATCAGCTCAATCACTATTTAGATTTAAACAACTAGAAATAAATCCTAAATTCTTAATGAATGTCTTTGCCATTTTTCTCTCCAGATCATCTCGAATTTTTACTCACATGGTATAAAATCTTTTTATAAATAGACGTAAAAATATGATTCGAATAAATCACTGTCCCCTCCCAACACTCAACTGATTGACGTTACGCGGTTGCAAAACGAAATGCTTTACCCCCTTCACCAGCTCTTGATAAATTTGAAGCTAGATCTCCAATCATTTGAATGAAGAGGATCTAAAACCTTGATGGAGACCTTCTTGGGAACAAGTGGCACCATTTTGCCTAGGATATCCAAAAATAACAAGCACAAGCGAGACGTACTGCTTAAAATTAACAAGCAAAAGCCCTAACCAATAAATAACCTGGAAATGTAATAACCAATCAGCAGTCTTCCAAATCCAAAGTCGTGCAGTAGCAGCACAAGGCCACAATCTAAGCCCCTTCTGCAAGGGTCCTCTTTGATGTGCTGATGTATAGAACTGGATCGAGGTAAAGAGATTTCAATTATTACTCATCGCAATAAAATCAATCCAATAAATAATATGAAACATCATCATAACAACCATTATTCCCTCGAATAAAAGCGTCTCCATATTTGTTCTTCAACTGCCCGTTTACATACTCTTCTGTTTGTTCCATTGCAATATTCATATAGCCATCTAGACATGCTAGAATGCCTGCAAACATTACCAAAAGGAATCAAGCCCGTCCATTCGTAGCCCCACGGAAACATTAAGAAAACGAAACCATGCGGTCAATTGGACCAACTATCAAGAATACGCCCACAAAGTGAAGGCCCACACATAAGAAAAGAACTTGATAAGAATTTAATTATCACTGCTCCCCGTTTCCTCTCACTTGGTCAGTCAGAATTTTGAATTAATAACACTTTGATATGGCTCTTATATGAGGATTTAGAGAGTATAAACTATGACCTTTATATTTTTTCACCAACTTCTTCGTTCTTATGTTAAAAAACACATTTACTATTTCACTCAAGGGAAAAAAAAACATTTAGTAAGTAATAAATTAGCAAATCCTTTGCTCAAAGAACTAATGCCACACGCACATCAAGAACTTTGAAATACTAGAACAAAAGGAAATTATTTTATTATTAACGTTAAAAATCAATGTCAGTTCCACCATAAATGTCATCAAAGGCGCTTGCCTTAGCACTGGGTACCAAAGAGGCAAAGTTTTTTAGCAGCTCTCATGGTAGTTAAAATCAGGCGCCAAAATTCGAGCAACTTTTTAACTGAGAAGCAATGGCACTTGGAAGAAGCAGGATTCAGGTTGGATCATGGGTGACGCTAAGGACTAGAAAAAGCAGGACATTTAAAATTAAAAAAAAAAAAAAATCCAACGTAGTTAATTGAAAGAATTTGCTGGCAAAAAAAAAAAAATTGAAAGAATTTAATTGTTATTAAGTTTGACAGAATTAACATATAGTCATGCTAGAAAATTAAGGTCCTCAGTTCTACCACAGACATTGAAATGTGAAGAAGTTTTCAGCTTCAAAAGTTTAATATAGATTTTAAACACAAAGGAAAACCTTCCCAATATGCATATCCACCAGAAAAACTACAGAAGAGAGGGAAAAAAAATAGACGGGCAAACCTCGATAATCAACACCAGAATTCAGCTTTACAACAACTGGTCGACCACGAATGGATTTGAGAAAATCCGCTGGGGTTTTTGTGGTCGTCGATGATTTCTCCACTGCACTCATTTTTATCTCAACCAGTTTTGTAACACCGGAGGTATAATAAAGAAACGAACTACAAATTTCATTAGTTAAAAACAAAAATTTCATGAGTCGAAAAATGTTGCTCTGAGAAATGATTCTTTGACTACTAGCATAGAAAATAATAAAAGCAATCAATCAAGGGGGAGAGATCCATCCCTATGATTGAAGTTTGCAATATGCCCATGTGAAGAACCCGATTCTCTTATAGAGAGCAAAGATAATGGTCGAAGAGAGGTTAGGTTTTTTTTTTTTTAAAAAATAATTTTTCCAAAAACAAAAAGTGCCAAAAACTTGACCATGGTATCTTAGAATGGATTCTATAGTTGTGTCAAAAGAAAAAAAAAAAAGAATGGATTCTATAGAATTTTTTTGGGGCAACATCAATTTATCAGCCCAATTAGCAGCAGACATCATACAGATATGCACGAAAATTTCGACAAAACAATCAGTTTCATGCGTAAACATTCAACAAGCGGATTCGAATTCAAAGGGAAAAGGGAAACCCAATAAGCATATAGCCAAATTATGAGCTCTTTCCATTTCCTTAGCAACCATCAAATATACTGACTCTTTATTCAACACAAGGGCAGAATATTCCCCCTGATTTTGGGGATTTTAAAAATGGAGAAAAGTAGGCATTCAAAGATCAACAGGCATAAGCACGAAAAAGAATATATAAACCAGTTTCAGGAAGAAAGACAAAGCAGACAAGAGCCATCCAATATAAAGAAATGCTCGCCAAATGGAACAGGCCACACGACTTGGCCGACAAAAAATGTATAATACAATGTAAACTGCACTATAGAGTTACCGGTGAGAAACCTACTTACCAGTGAGACGGCGGAGAATTTACCGCCGGGAGGAGCTAGTCTGAATGATGTCGGAGAAGGAGCAATCCCGAGTGAGGGAAAAAAGAAAACCCTAACCCCTCCGGATCTCCCTCTTACTTGGTTCTATTTCTTATTTTTTTCAGCGTGCAGGTTGTATACTGTTTTCTCTGGATTGTTGAGCATTGCAACCCTGTGAATGCAATTTGAAGCGAGCGAAGCGTTTTCACATGATGGACCGTTGTGGTTTTCTCTCAAATGTGCATTGGAATGGACGGTCCAAATAATGTTTTCGGAGAGAACAGGAGGACACAAGCATGACACTGTAGTCAAACAACACTCAAATCCTCCACATCGAAGCCTGAAATTGGTTGTCATGTCAATTTTGTTTTGTATATTTATATACCCATAGAATATGTTATAAACACTGTCAACATTCAATCACGTGATGATATTGACTACTTAAAAATATATTAACTCTTCTTTTAATTATAAAATCTTATTTATAATTTATAAACAAAATCTTATAATTAAGATATAAGATAATACCTAAAAAAGAGCCAGCCACAGTCAGCTTGATGAGATTTATATCTTGAATGCAGAGGCTGCTGGGATCTCACGATCTTATTGCGATCTTATATTTGCTCCTTGCTGGTTTGTACATTTTTTCATCTTTCTATCGCAAGAAACCACCGTAACTCTAGCAAAAGAGCGCAAGTCGTAAGTGATCACTAAACTAAAGTTTGCTTGGACAAGCATTGGCCAAAAAAAGAAGAAACAATATTTGGTACTGAATATGAAATACTAGTTTCAATTCTTAATATAAGAGCTAATTAATTAATTTGAATAAATTAAAAAAATTTGTTCAGCTAGTTATCTATAATAATTAAGCGTTGTGTATATCTTTGCCAATCATATGTATAAGCTAAAACTATTATCCGATAAAACTTTTAATACGTGTAACTTATACAATACAATGAATACTTTGAAAAAAATAGATAAGTATAAAAAATAAAATAGATTGAAATTTTATATTCATGACCAAATTAATTAAATATCGAACTAACTTATAAGAAATGAAAGAAGAGATACTTTATATATACAATATAATAATAATTATATCTTTTATTTAAAACGTATTTGGAAGAGCTTGGCAAGATCTGCTGTCAACCTATCTAAATTTTAAATAATGTGGGAAGGCTGTTGCACATAATAGTGGGACTTCTTGATGAGAAGATTGAAAGAGAACTGATATCATCACGTGCTTATATGTGTTTGTTTGATGTTCATAACAAAAGGGTACCCGACCCACCCTAATAAAGGACTTACGGAAGGCAGCATGGAATGAGAAACTCGAATTGGGGGTGCATGAACATCAGGATTTTTTCAGATTTTATGAGTTTTTTTTTTTTTAACAGAAGTTGACATATCACCAAAAATCGAAAGAGATAAAAGTTACTAAAGATATAAGGAGGTTAATTGTACGAGACTGAGTGATGCTGACCAACTCACACATTATGTTTGAATAGGTAGATTATGGCTATGATTAAGACAACTGTCCAATAGATTCTTGACTTTTAGGTTTGTTGATGGCTATTTCCTTCGCTTGCACTGGGGGGGGGGGGATTAAAGACGTACAAGGAGTGGATGGAAATGTAAGTGTCTACCCTCTGCGACAACGCTTAGTGGCTAGCAGCAATGGTATGGTCCTTCTTTTAAGCATGAATGGACACAGAAATTATGAAAGCGGAACATGAATTTCTATAAGAAGAATTGGCACATCACTTGGCAGAAAAATCATGAGTAAACTAAGAATACTATGAGAAATTGACCTTGGAGTGCTTGACGCAATGAGCAAAGCTTCTTATCAAAGATTGAACAAGGCCCTGTGGCAGGGATGATGTCACAAGTTCTGAAAGAAAACTATGAGAAAAGGCGCGACCAAGTGAATCCAAGCTATGGAAAGACCAAAACAAAGTGTGGCTTCGGTTTGGTGATGATGATATAGCATGTAAGAGCACGTATGGATAATGTTGACGTTGGAACAAGGGGAGAAAGCATTGGCAACATGTAATACGAGGAGGGATAATGCCGTCGCATGCCTAATATTAATCAGAGACGCTGAGAATGATATAGCATCGTCTCTTCTGCTCTGAAACCTTCATCTCCTGATTGGATTAAACTTAAATGTCGATGGAACAATGTTATCAACTCCGAAATGTGGAGGTGCTATAGGAGACCATATGGGTCATCGAATCCCTGGAATTATTCATACGCTAGGGCGATGTTGGGCATATGAAGCAAAAGAATGGGCCGTGTTAAAAGATCTTACATTGACATGAGATTTAGGCTTCAGACAAATTATATTAAAATCTAATTGCAATGTTCTAATAGCCATTTTGGAGGAAAAATTCAACCCTGAAAGCTGCAGTTTAGCGTTGATTCAAGTTCAGAGATCAATTATGCTTGGAATGTACAAGTCAGCCACGTCTCAAAGAACCAGAACTCTCGTGCGTAGCTAATAGACTGGCAAAGGATGTGATTAATGACTCTTCACTCAGACATAAATCCGATTTATTTGCAGACAAAGTTCAGAATGACTGTTTGGGATCTCAATTGGGGACTTAATTGTGTATTTTCTTGTTATGCACTTAAAGTGAAAAAACTTTGGCAACATCTACAGTAAAGCAATAATGCAAATAACATTATAGAGCGCAGCATTGGTAATTAGGTACTTCGCACTTTCTTTTCAAGACCAACCATATTCATCAAATACCATTATTCGTTTATCTTTCTTGTGATATTTGACTCTATGAATCAAACTGGACTCGCATAACACAATATAGTGGTTGAATTAATTCTGATAGGTTTTAAAAATTACCACAAAATTTATGAGTTGAAGAATAAATTCTTATAAAACTTTTTTTTTTTGATAATTAGTACAAACTAACAAGATACGAAGGATACAGTAGGAAACCTAGCACATGAGCACCTAATATCCCGCACGATGACCTTGCATTTCTGATGATATGAAGTCTGCCCGTTCAACAGTCTCACCATGCTTGGTCTATTCAACATTATTGATAGATTATAGGCACAGGGAGCCAGTGTGAGAGACTGATGGCATACAAAGTAGAGCCTCTTGCGCAAGTCGTCTAACATTGTTTGAGTGTAGAAGATAAAGTCTTATAAGACTTGAAGATAAATTTATTCAAATAATGATATTTAAAAATAATTACTCCTCTAGTCCTATTTATAGGACAGATAGAGAATTTTTTTTATCATATTTATATGTCATTTCATTAAATTTTTATCATAATGTGTCATATTATCCTCCATTTATTATAGTATAAATAGCTATTTTTTTTGAAAGAAGTATATATTAAATAGGGGTAATGTTGGAAAGTTACTATATTTTAATGAATAGTTAATGCAATTTAAAGTTTTTTTTAGTTTGTGTGAAACATGTTGGAAGTGTCTTATAAATAGGACTAGAGGAATAGCATTTAGCCCCTATTTGGGCAACTACCCAAACAATGGTTTGGGCAAAAACATTGCCAAACACTAGAAAATAGCAGAAACCATGGTTTTGGTCCAAAAACCATGGTTTGGGGAGAAGCAAAATTGATATGCTTTTGTAGAGAAAATTGGAGAATGTTAGAGTAAGTTTCATGTAATTCCAACAAATATATGCTTCTTTTTTTTTGGCCCAGACAGATATACCCCTCAATTATTCATTTCTTGTCTTCATTCTCTTCCGCCTTCGGTCCTTCACTCCTCAGAATCCATTCCTCCTTCGGTCCTCCTGAGACATAACATCTACATGTGGGTCGCTGTTCCTTTCTTGCTATTTGGACATTTCAGTACTTCACATGAAATTTTGTAAAAGTATAATTTATAGTAAATTACACACAATTTATTCCAAACTAGATTATGAGGAAAATAAAATCATATTTAATCTTATGTTTTATAAATATATATACACATATTAATTATTTATTAATTACATTTTCTTATATATTATTAAATATGTTGGTAAAAAAATATTATCAACAAATTTATTTATTCAAATTCAAATATATTATAAAATCTGTTTTTTATGTAATTATCATATTAATTTATGTTTTTTTAGTAATTTGTACATATAAAAAGTTTTTCTGATAACAACTATCCAAACACTTTTACTTTATTATAATCTATTCTTTATTCTTTACAAAATCTATTCTTTTAAAAATTTATTCTTCAGAAGCTATTCTTTAAATTATAGTTTGGTTTTATCTAAACACCCATTTAAGAGACTTTTAAGTTTTAATTCACTAAAAAGAAAAATTCAATTGACAGGGGCACTAATGGGCCCCAAGCCCTTAACAAGCAGTCACTGTTTGCGTGTAAACGCCTTTCAATTCCTGGAGCGGCCATCAGCCAATGGAAAACGCACAATGAGTTGCACTCCACACTTGCGCATGATAGGGCACCCCTATATAAGGCCCCTTAAAAACCTCGAGCTTCTCTTTTTCACCTGTTCATCGCACTTGTAGGCGTCTGCAACTCCTAGTAGTTAATTTTAGCACACCCAAACCCGCCACTATCATCACCCTTACTCTCCCCACAAACCCTAATTCCCTCCACACCAAACAAACCCCATTCCCTCCCGTTTTACTTCTTGCCCTCTGACCCCGGCTTCAACCTTGATCAAAACTTCACTGTCTGCTTTTTACTGAAAACCCACTTGGATTCCTGCTGCTCCAGCTCAGGATTCATGTGTTTAATCATCCCTTGCTCTGGCTTCGATGATAACTCTTGATTCAAGTGGCAAGTGAATTTATCTCTCTGTCTTATTTTCACATTTTTAATTGATCATTTAGTTTTCTTTCTTTCCAGTTGTTTTTGCAAGCTGTGACTGTCATTTGGTGAGAGAGTAAGGTCTAAGGGGGCCAATTTGGGAGTTAGGTAATTGTAAGTGATGGTGATTGCTGAGAGTGAGATTGGCGAGGACCAGAAGGAGGTTAATGCTCCCAAATCGCCGTGGAAGACTCCTGTTGTAGATGGGAACGGAAGTGATGTCTCTGTTATGATGGGCACTGAGTCTTGGCCTGCTCTCGCTGATGCCCAACGTCCTAAGACTTATGAGACTGCAGCAAAGCTAGAGGATGCGTCAGCTGCTGATCGAATCTCTGCGGAGGCTGCTCCACGACCTCCACCTATGCAGGTTAACCTATCTTGTATTGCATTATGGTTTCTGATATGAAGTGTATAATGTCATTGTTAATTTGATGATTTTTCAGAGCTCAGTTAAATGTTTTTATTGCTTGAAATCTGGATAGAATTTACTTTTAAAAGAAAAATGTCATTATCTAGTTTACTTCCAAAATTTCATGTTTTAAGCTTGCAAAATTTATAACTAGTGTTGTCTCCCATTAAAAAAGCCTTTTTTTTTTTTTTAAATAACCAGAGCTTGATGCTGTTGAGCTGCTTATTAGGCAGCTTTTATGTTGTTGCCCACAATAAAGTTTTGGAAATCTTTGTCATTTCTTTTACCTTCTGTTACTGTTGTTTATTTTAAATTTCTCCACATAGAGGCTTAACAAACTATATTTTATACATATTCTATAATAATGCTTTAACGCTTCTTTTTCGAGTTTTCTCTTATGCTACTGAGTCCTCACCTTTTTACATTTTAACTTCCTTGCTTCACTAAAACTGTCCTCCAAGTGTCGTCTTCTTGATCCAATTTACAGACCGTTTCCAATGATGAGATGGTTCTCGTAGGGGTTGGCTTGCATAGGAACGAGGACGATTTCCCGTCTCAGGGGACAAGAATGCGGATATATTTTCCCCTTACTAGAATTTGGGGACCATCTCTTATGCAACTCGTTATATTTAAATTACTGTAACATCTTTCATTTTATTCAATTACTTTTTTTGTATATCTTTATTACTAGTTAATATCAATGTCATCAATATATCAATATATAATATAAAATCTATTGTAAGATGTGTTGTTCATAAGTCATAAACAATGTGGATCACCTGAAACTTTGTTCAGCATATCAGAAATGGGTAATTAAATACTTATAATTTATTCTAAGAAACTTTAATACGTGTCTATTTTTATAAATTTTATTTGAATTTTTGAGAAATATATTATTTTGGTATTTAAGAACTTCACTAACTATCCAAAAAATGTTATTTATTTGGGGATTCTTTCATGTTCTTGCATCCCACTGGGAAGTGGGTCTCTTGTTATGGTAAGTAGGGACAAGGGAATCCTTTTTTGGGTTTTGGAGGGGGGTAGGGACTAGGACCGGCTGGTCTTTTGGTCTCTGCCATGCCTTATGGCAGTCTCTTAAATCTAATTTGACCATATGGATCCAGTTACTTAGCAAGAAACCATTTGATGCCATTTAGGTTAGTCTGCTTGACTATAGGCAAGATCCTTTCTGATTTCTTACATGGCGAGGGTACTTGTCACACATCTTGAACTTGTTGAGTTTATTCTTATATAGGATCCGAATTTAAAATGTAGTAATATCATGGGTTTTAAATGCTTTGAAATTACTCTAATAGAAAATGACTTGTTTAGAAATGTTTTATATTCCTTGAAATGATGGTCGCCAATAAAAAATTGTGAGTTAACGCTTTATATTCCTTGAAATGAAGGATGCCAATGCGCAATGAGGATTTTGAGCTTTTTATGCGCATGCAGAAGAGTTCAAGTCTTCAACAATTATACCAGTAGTTGTACTTGTCCGCTAATTTAAGTACACAATTAAAAGCAAGTGTTAGTTCCAGAAGTACAACTTCATGTATGGATGTCTTTCTATATCTCCTCGGTCATTGTATATATCCTGTCTTGGTGGAATAATTCTGACATGCTTGGCTCTAGGTTGTGATGTTTTTGTTGCTCAGGTGATTTAAAATTGTCATTAGTTATAATTTGACAAGTTGAAAGAAAAATGTATCACTTTGATCCTTTGCTATTGCACTATCAGTTTGTTTGCAATTTTGGTTGAACATTTTAAATTATTGTATAATGAATTATGTAAGAAGTCATATGATGATTAGGGGTCTAGAGACGTTACTTCGTTTGCATTTTGAAGTGATTGTTATGGGAAGGTATGATGGCAACAATTTGAGCATTGAAGTAGCTTTCAATGGTATTGAAACCTTTTTTCCCCCCTCATTTTCTCAAGTCTTATGTTTCTTACATTGAAATAATAGTTTAACATCACAACATTCTTAAATTTGATATTAAATATGCTTTGCTTCTTCATGCTCTTTCATATCATCACAGGGGTCAGTTCAGCAGAAGTCAAATGGTGCTGGAAACCCTAATCCGATGCATAAGATCTCATCATCACGTCATCAGAAATCAGGTTCTAAGCGCAACTCTGGCGGTGGACCTCCTTTTCCTGTACCGATGCCTTATCATCAACCACCAGTCCCCCCGGTTTTTCATGCTATGGTACCTCCACCTCACATAGCCGTTCCTGGCTATGCTTTCCCTCCCGGACCAGGACCTTTTCCTAGTGTTGAAAATCCTTTAGTAAAGCCTGCATCTCAGGCAACAAGACAAGCCTTTGTTCAAACTGCTCATGCTGTTGATGCCAAAAATGTTCAACCCTCTGTGCAAGGTGATCCAAATGCTTATGTCAGTATTTCTAGTGGAAGACCCCCTATGCAGGAACAAGTTGATCATGTGAATAATACTTGGCATCATCAAAGGGCATTTCCCCCAAGAACCAACATTTCTATGCAACAGGGTATGGGAACAAGGACCTTTATAAGGCCTCCGTTTTATGGTCCACCTCCAGGTTACATGGTTGCTCCAAGCTTCCCAGGTAAATATTCGTTCATGTCTTCTGGCTTTACATATGCAGAACTCTATGCGCAGATATTTGTCTTTATTGAATGATTTGGGACACATCTCAGTATTTTTTTATTCTTGAATTCCAATTCCTCCGTTGGTTGGTTCTGTATCTCAATGAGTCTGTTTTTGCTTAGGACCTCCACCTGTATGGTATGTCCCTGTGGCACCCCCAGGCTCTATTAGAGGACCGCATCCTCGTCATTTTGTTCCATATCCTGTTAATCCAGGATCTCAGCCACTGCCTCCAGAAACTATATCTTTGAGGGCTAGCATTGTTAAACAGATAGAATATTATTTCAGGTCAGTAAATTAATTGTGGGCATTGGCTTTTAACTTATTGGCTACTGTTAAATATGTCTTGCATAACATATTACTATGTTATAATAATTTGTTTTTGTTAATATTATTTTCATCTTGATGGATGTCATTAATTTAGACCATTGGATATGAACATAATTTCTAGATGAGGATGAATGAACTGATTTTACTGTTAGATCGTACTGTACGAGATGACTGATTTGTTACTTTGGGAAGCGAAAGTAACCAAGTCTAAGACAATTATTGCCTTTTCTATTTGGCTTTATGATTTTGAGTTGTGCCATATGAAGTGGCAATGATTTTGATGAGTGTTAAACATGTCTTGAGGACTCCTGTAATCAAGTTAATCAACATAAGGAATGTGATAAAGATTGTTCTTTTAGCAAAATGCTGACCTCAGTGCTTTCTCTTGGCAGCGATGAAAATCTTCAGGATGACCATTATCTTATTTCCTTGATGGATGACCAAGGATGGGTTCCGATATCCACTGTAGCTGGCTTTAAAAGGGTCTGTTTGTAAATTTTTTGCCTCCTAATTGTGTTACAGTTTTTAAAAAGTATGCGTTATGCAGATGCATACTATAATGTATATTATTCCCAATAATATAATGTCAATTGTCAAGTTGTTGTTCTTTTAGTAAATAATCTTATTCTACAATTTTAGTAATGTAATTCTGATGCTATACTATTTTCAAAACTTCCAAAGGTTAAGAAGATGAGCGAGGACATACCCTTCATCCTTGATGCGCTGCAGAGCTCTAATACCATAGAAGTGCAGGTTAGATTCTTACTTGACTTGGTTGTTGTTGGTTTTCCAAGTTTGACAGTTCCTTTTGTTTCTATGTGATATTAAATATATAAAAATTAAAATATATTAATTTATGACTGGTTCAATCACAGTTTGACTATTGTCCAGTTAAGTTTATCTGGTTCAGCTTTCATAACATTGGATCTTTTTGTGTGCATGAGTTTGGGGCTGCAACAATGCATGCTTGAACATATAACTTGGTTTTCAGTTGTTGGCAGTAGTTTTGATCAACTTAAACGGTTTTAGAGTCAAAACCTTGCTATAAATAATTAAACTCCCTTCTTTTGTATGTTATTCAAATTACTGTATAATTCCTATTGAAAATTTTCAGTTGGGTTGTTTCATCTCAAGACAAGCCTAACAAGGTTCTAAGTTCTCTTTCCTTCTATTGGACAGAAATTTTTTGATGAATTGGGCCCAGGCATCTTTGCTCGCTTAAGTCAACTTGACAGTTGACATGCTATAATTTGTGTTCAATTATTTACTAAAAACACATAGGTTACTGTTTTATCAAATTATTTTAAGTGAAGTATGCCTTGGAAACCTTTTCTTCTTTAAGTTCGCATATTAAATTTACGTGTATGCAACTTTTTGAGAAATTAGAAGTGCTATGTAGTGGAAGAATTATTTGGGCTCTTTAAGTTTAAGCCAAATTGTAATATGGCTTCAATATATGAAATAAGGGGATAAAGATGGCTTTATTTTTGAACCTAGAGATCTTTAAACTTTGTCTCTTTGTAGACTCTACATACAAGGAATACCACGTTAATGCTTTTGGAGTTAGCTTTAATACTACCAAAGCCTCAAAAGCTCAACAATTTCATGATATCTTGATTAGATTTTTATTTCGTATTACTTCCTTTTCCTTTCTTTTCTATTTTTGGCCTGCATATTCCTTTCTTATTTTAATTGTAGCTGGTGCTATTTCCATAGGATGAAAGGATTAGGAGACGTGATAGTTGGTCAAAATGGATTCGAGTTTCCGCAGGAAATTCAGCAGCATCAATGGCTCATAGTCAGCAGAGCCAGCAGAACCAACCTGCAGATGATACAACCAAATCTCTTGAAAATGGTGATGCCAGCGGAGACAAGACAAGGGCAATTTCTGAAGCAACTCTTAACTCTCCAGAGGAACAGATGCAATCAAATGAAAATGGTTCAAAGGTTTCAGAAATAAACACGGAACGTGCTGAATGTCATCTTTCCAATAATAAACCAGAAGCAATAACTGGTGAAAATGTCAAATTCACTGATCATGACAAGAGCAGCAATAAGTTATGTTTCTACTCACAAGATTCTGAGCCAAAAAAAATTGATGATGAGACTGGAAATATGGAGGCTCCGACTGATGGGGATGTCAAAGATCTTTCTAATGATTTTGCAACTACATTTATGCTTGATGAAGAGATAGAGCTTGAAAACAAGATGTTAAAGAAGGCTGATCTTTCTTCTACCAGAAGGTATGACATCTAATTCTTACACAGATCGAAATGTCCTAGGGATGACTTTTGGGGGGATATCAGGCTTGGACAACAAGTGGGAGAAACACATGGTCAAAATTTTCAGGTCTTTGAAAATGTCTTGTAGAATATTTGATCGTGGACACTCACTGTTAAAATACATTCTGACGATCATGTAACACAAAAAAGAAAAAGGTGAAGTAAAAAATATAAATATAAAAATGTAATTTTCTCATCAACATGAGTTTTCTAGTACCTCATTCCACTTCTAGTGTCATCCACCAAAGCCATGTTTCAAGTAAGCCCATACCGTACTTGTTGTGTGCCCAAATGGGAGACAAATTTTTTGTTGACTCACCCACACATGTATGGGAGATATGTGGACATTATGTCTTGGTGCTAGCGCTCTAGCTTCTGCTTTTCCGAAAATCTCATTTTTAGAATTGTTTTTTGAAAAGCATTGTAACAGCAAATCAGTTTTATGCTTGGCCAATCATTCAAGAGCTTTTGCAATATTTTCCATACACTTGAAAGCTTTCGTTTTTTATTTTTTCATGGATACGCGTCTCTTTTTAGAGAGATGAAATATGCGGAAGTTTATAATTAACAGAAGCAGTAGTCGGGAGATGAGAAGCCTGGACTATTGCCAGCATAACTAGTGAAGATGAAATACATTGCACTGAAATTTTTTGCCCAACCATGATGAACAATTTATATGAAACATAAGATTGGTATAGTATCTTTGTTTATCTATTTTTTATCTAATTTTTTCCCCTGGAAAGCATCTTATACATATAATGAACATTTTTGGCCAAAAAGAATCTCCAAAATCATTTTGGCTTTACTTTTTTTTCCTTAGAAATATTAATGGTTTGTTAATTTATGTAAAATTTATATTCATTTATTTATTCCCTATCATTTATATTCTAAATTGTCCCCAGTCTCTATCCTTCGTTACTGCTTCCTAGATTATTAGAGGATGGGTGCTTGCTTATGCATCTCATAGAAGTTTGCTTCCTTTTCAAACTAGAATAATATTATTTATTGTTGCATATGTTAAAATGTGCAATCTGGAACATAATCATTTTTAATTCTTTTCTCATAGCATTTCCAATAACATTTTCGTTGACCCATCCAAGATTGATATTCCCTATTCTTTCTAATGTGAAAGTGGAAGATTTTTGTTTCCTTTGTTAAACCCATATTAATATCTTCTGTTTGAGATTTTCTAATCCCTTATGGAATGGGATTAGGTGATTGTCATACGATTGCCATTTAAGTATAAACTAGTTTGTGTTGCATTTGATTTTCCACTCATTTGATGGAATTTGTTGCCTAAAAGGATTGATGATGAAGATGATGAAATGGTTGTCAATGACCAAGACGTTCAAAGACTTGTAATTGTTACCCAGGTATTTGTTGATAAGCTAATTAATAAATGTGTTTTCTCCCCTCAAAAGCTTGTTATTGTTTGTTTTTATTAGAATTAAGGATTTACGAGAAAGGATGATTGTAAACAAGGATGATAGGATGTTCCCCTCAAGAGAGCATAGAAAGGCAGTGAGAAAGGCACCACAGAGCAGACATGATCATTTTTTGATTGGTAGATGTATAAACATTGACACATATGTCAAGAACCCTCTTAAGAACTATGAGAATCTAGATCCGATTTTGTAGGGATTGATTATGTAAATATCAGGATTTAAATCTGATTGTATATTTCTGGATCTTCTCCCGTGATTCTTGGTCATACAATTAATTCGACCGTCCCTCATTCTTGTATATAATTATACCTCATCGAGATGAATAATATACAGTTGAATCATCATTCTCGGTGTCCTACATGGTATCAGAGCACTCACCGGACACGGGGAATTCGTTCGATTCATCTGAAGTCAATCACAAGTCGAACCTTCAACCTGAATCCCTACAACCAATGTCAACTGGTCATGAAGATTCCTCTACTGTCAATGGGTCTCGACCAACTGCAGCAAGCTTGGAGAGCTCGTCCGTCCTTATTGTCCTCAAACAGCTCAATGGTGAGAACTACTGTGGATGGTGCAATCCATGTCCCTTGCCCTTGCAGGTTGCAGTTGACGAGGCCACATCACTAGCGACACCGCTGCACCTCCATCATCCAATACCAAGGGTGTTGCTGTGTGGAAGGCTGAGAATGCCCTGGTCTCATCCTGGCTAGTGAATGCCATGGCGCCGACAATCAAGAAGAGTTTCATGTTCCTCCCTACTACACGTGATATCCGGGAAGCGGTCCGTGAGGCATATGATGATAGCAGTAACATCTCCTAAGTGTTTGAAATTCGGTCTCAGCTATGATTAACGAAACAAAATTCCCGCAATATCCATGAGTACTATCTCGAAAAGACCTCCCTTTGGTAGGAATTGGTTCTGTTAAACCACATAACATTTCACTGTTCTATTGATGCTGCATCTGATCGCAAGGAGAGGGAGGTCGAGCAGTTGTTTGAACTATTAGCTAGTCTGGACTTGATCTGCGGTGATGCTAGGGGGCGCATTCTTAGTCTTGAGCCTCCAGCAAGTGTCCGAGAAGCCTTTGCCCTCCTCCGCAAAGAAGAATCACGGCTTAAGGTCATGCTTAAAGATGATCACAGTCCTCAGGTCCCTACTGTTGAAAGCTCTGCCCTTGCTGTTCGCACAAATGACCAGAGATCTAATAAAGCCTGCTCCTTTTGTGACCATTGTAAGAAACAGGGTCATACCAAAGACACTTGTTGGGACCTGCATGGCAAGCCACATGACTGGAAACCTCGAAAAGGGAGAAGCAAAGGCTATGTTGCTAAAAAGAGTGTTGACTCGGACACTCCTTCCACATCTCAGGGAGACCCATTGAACAAAATCATTGAACTGCTCACATCAATGCAAACAAGTCAGTAACCTTCCAAACAACCAACTGCCATTGTTGTAAAACGAGGTGATTTTTTCACGGCCTGTCTATTAAAAATAAATGTTCTGGGAACTGCTGGATAGTTGATTCAGCTGTGTCTGATCATATGACTAATGATAGGTCCCTATTCTTTTCTTACACCATTATGACTAAACGCCTCATAGTTAAGATCGTTGATGATTCTGATTCTCTTGTTGCTGGAATTGGTACTGTAATGGTCTCCACTTCATTAACTCTCCATTATGTCCTACATGTGCCAAATCTGAGATGCAATTTAGTATTTGTTAGTCAATTGGGCCGGAGAAGAACGTTGCCATGCTAATTTCTATGGCTCTCATTGTTTATTTCAAGATCTACTAATGGGGATGATGATTGGTAGTGCGAATGAGTACGATGGTCTTTATTATCTTGACAACAATGCTTCACAACATGTTAGGTCTTGTAATAAAGTGTTTCTCCCTAGGATTAGTGAATTGGAGTTATGGCACCAACGGCTAAGGCATCCAAATTTCCATTATATGTCTCAAATGTTTCCGTCTGTTTTTTCTAATAAAGACCCTTTTGAATTTTATCATGACTCTTGTGAAAAGGCTAAACATCATCGCACTTCTTTCATTCGTCATCCTTAACGTGCTTCACAACCATTTGCTACTATCCATAGTGATTTGTGGGGTCCTTCCCGCATGCCAAATCGAACACACATTAAATGGTTTATCACCTTCATTGATGATCACACACATGTGAGCTAGGTCTACTTATTGAAAGACAAAATAGAAGTTCCCCAGATTTTTGTCAACTTTTATAACATGATCAAAACTCAATTCCAAACGCCAATCCAGACTCTTCACACCGACAGTGGCATGGAATACTTTAATCAAACACTAACCACATTCCTAACCACTCACGCTATAGTTCATGGAAGCACTTGTCATAACAGTCCCCAACAAAATGAAATTGCCGAGAGAAAAAATCGCCACATTCTTGAAACAGCCAGGGCACTCATGTTTACCAGTCATGTTCCTAAATTCTATTGGGATTACGCCATTCTCACTGCCACTTTCCTTATTAATCACATGCCTAGTAAACCTATATCTTATAAAGCACCACACCAAGTTCTTCATCAACATTTCAACCTCCCATATCTAGAGAACACTTTACCTCTCAAGGTCTTTGGCTGTACCTTCTATGTCCACCTCCATCATTCTAACAAACTGGACCCCAGAGCACTACCTTGTATCTTTCTCGGCTACTCCTCATCTCAAAGGGGGTATAAATGTTATGATCCTATCTCCAGACGACTCTTTATTACTTGTGATGTCACCTTCCATAAAACCACACCCTTCTATCAGCTGTCTATCATTCAGGGGGAGAGTGAGAGTGAATTCCAGACTCATGAAACATCAGCACTAGCATCACCAGCACCAGCATTAGCACCTTTACCCCATGAACAAACTTTTGTTGACCACACCTTACTCAACCTTCGCCCCCCCACAACTGAACCTATCCATGACAACACAGAACCTGTACCTCATGTTCAGGGGGCATCTAATCTAAGGGGAGACAGAAACACATCAGTGAAGATCTATGCACGAAGGTCACGAACCCCAAGCTCCCAGAACTCGCCAAGAGTCAAACCCAGAGGCAGATCTGGTAGAGGGACATGGTGTGGAACTTAATAATACTATACAGGAAAGTGAGGCACTTGAAGATCTAGATCTACCAATCACAATTAGAAAGAAGCCGAGATCTTGCACTAAACATCCCATAGAAAGTTTTGTCTCATAAAACTCTCCCCAAAATACCATGCCTTTGTTACTCACCTTGACAATGTTAAGGTACCACATAACATTGATGAAGCCTTGGCCCTACCTGAGTGGAGACAGGCAATTATGGAGGAAATGGAAGCTCTTGAGAAAAATAACACTTGGGTAGTGGTAGACCTAACAAAGGGAGAGAAACCGGTTGGATGTAAGTGGGTGTTTACTCCAAAGTATAAAGCTGATGGAAGCCTAGAAAAGTATAAAGCGAGACTGGTTACTAAGGGTTTCTCACAAACCTATGGCAAGGACTACATAGAGACTTTTGCATCGGTAGCAAAATTAAACACAATCCAAATTTTACTATCATTAGCTATCAACCTAGGTTGGCCTTTGCATCAACTGGATGTCAAAAATACTTTCCTCAATGGAGAACTCAAGGAAGAGGTCTACATGAAACTGCTCCCAGGGTTCCCAAGGAAGAAATCGAGTCAAGTGTGCAAACTGAAAAGATCATTGTATGGGTTAAAGCAATCTCCTAGGTCATGGTTTGAAAGATTCACCAAAGCACTCAAGAGGCGGGGCTACACTCAGGGGCAGAGCGATCACACTATGTTCTTCAACATGAAAGAGGAAAAATAACTGTCCTGGCAGTATATGTTGATGACAATGTACTCACAGGGGATGATGTGACAGAAATAGAACAAATTAAAGTAGTACTGGCTCTAGAATTCCAAATCAAAGACCTTGGAGAAATGAAATATTTTCTTAGGATGGAAGTTGCTCAATCAAAGAAAGGGATTTATATCTCTCAAAGAAAGTATATCCTGGACCTCTTGAAGGAAACAGGGATGCTGAGATGCAGACCAAGTGATACGCCCATAGGAGTTGATAAAGATTAGTGACGAGGGGGATCTTAGTAAAGTCGTGGATATGGGAAGGTGTCAATGAATGGTGGGAAAACTCATATACCTCTCTCATACCCGACCAAATATCTCTTTTTATTGCTAGTGTGGTTAGTCAACGCTCTCATGATCCTAAGCAGAAACATCTTAACGAAGTTTATAGAATTCTTAGATACTTGAAGGGATCCCCAAGTCATGGACTGTTATTTAAAAAATCCGACAAGCAAAGCATCGAGATATTCATAGATGCCGACTGGGCAGGTGACCAAGATGATAGGAAATCCACATCAGGCTATTGCACTTTTGTATGGGGCAATCTTGTTACCCAGAGGAGCAAGAAACAAAGTGTAGTAGCAAGGAGCAGTGCAGAAGCAGAGTTTAGGGTAGTAGCACTTGGCATATGCGAAGGCATATGGCTGAAGAGGGTACTAGAAGAATTGAAGAAGAATGTTAACCTACCTATCAAACTATATTCAGATAATATGGCTGCCATAGATATCTCCCCCAATCCAGTCCAACGTGACAGAACAAAGCATGTGGAAATAGATAAGCATTTTATAAGAGAAAAGATTGATAGAGGCATAATTCGTCTAAGATACATTCCCTCAAACGACATAACTTACAAAGGGACCAACAAGAGACAAGTTTGATTATTTTATTCGCAAGTTGGACATGGTTGACATCTATGGTCCAACTTGAGGGAAAGTGTGAAAATCTAGATCCGATTTTGTAGGGATTGATTAAGTAAATATCAGGATTTGAATCTGATTGTATATTCCTTGGTCTTCTCCCCTGATTCTCGGTCATACAATTAATTCAATTGTCCCTCATTCTTGTATATAATTATACCTCATCGAGATGAATAATATACAGTTGAATCATCATTCTTGGTGTCCTACAAGAACCCTTTCATCTCAAAAGCTAAAGCTATTAAAGTGACTCTAGAGAGAAGGATTGTAAAAACAAGTGCTGGATAAACTGGTATGGATAAGGGTGACATAACTGCCCAAGGAATGCACGCTTCCAATTTTCGATGCTCTTGGAAATCTTCTAACTCACCATTTTTTTTCCCTGAAGGATATTCTTTATTAATCTTATTTAAGTATCATAAATAGGATCAGAGGCTAATTTAGAGAGATTAGGGGCTGATTTAGTGGGATCAGTCATTAAGGATTAGCCCGTACCTGCACAGATTATAATCATTTATACAAGCAAAGAAGCATTCTTCTGAACCAGTTCGTTGCCCCTTGCTTCATCTCCTTTACTTGTTATTCCATAAAGTAGGGATAGGTACTTTAAACAGAGTTGATGAAAATTTAAATAAATTTTGGGTGCTGCTTAAATGGCTATAAAGAGGCTGGAACTGTGCAAATATAGCATTATGATTTTTCTTGATACTCTGCTGAGCTTGCATAAATGAATTATTTGTTCATTTTCTATTTTTATTGTGCAGAATAGTGATATTAAACAAGGATCTAAAGTTGGTGGCAAAGAACCAAACTCCATTTCCAGTGAACTTGCTTCTGCAATAAATGATGGTCTTTACTTCTATGAGCAGGTTAAATGTTACCTTTGTTTTTGCTTTTACCAGGCCGTTGTCATCTCTTCAACATTGAATTAATGTTCCCCACATAATTATTGACAGGAACTTAAAAATAAGCGGTCAAATCGTAGAAAGAATAATTTTGATAATAGAGATCGAAAGTTAAAATCTACAAGCAATACTTCAGGAGTGCCTAATATGAAGATGGGAGAAAATATCAGTGCAAGCAATGCCCTGGAAGAGGCTGGAAGCACGAGTCTCCGGAGGAAACAAAAAGGCACTCTCAAGCAGCAGTCTTCCCATAAGCAGCGGTTTTTCTCTAGCAATTTTAGAAATCATGGAACTGGTCGTAACTCTTTGGGAATTATATCTGAAAGTCCACCAAGTAATTCCGTTGGATTTTTCTTCGCTTCTACGCCTCCTGAAAATCATGGGTCAGTTTGGAATTGTGTGTTCCCTGAGCTCTACAGTGTGATATTGGTTTTTGTTATCTTGTTTTTTGAGTAATTACATGAAATGATCATTGGCATGAGGAGCATGTCATAAATGATAAAAGAAACGGTATACTTATTGTTTGATTGTTCTGCTTGATGAACGTGAAACTTTCCAATAATTATCTTTATTTTGCAGCCCTAGACCTTCAAAATTGAGTGTTTCACCCCGCCTTTCTGGAAGTAGCCCACCTGTGGGTTCCTTGCCTAAGTCTTTTCCACCATTTCAGCACCCGAGTCACCAACTTTTAGAAGAAAATGGTTTCAAACATCAGAAGTAAGTGATAGTGCTACTGCTTACAGTACTTGTGCATGAGGACTTGTAGAGTGAAAGATATAGTGCCTTGTCATGTCATTTATGTAACTGTTTTTCCTTATAGGTATCTCAAGTATCATAAGCGGTGCCTGAATGATAGAAAGAAACTTGGAATTGGCTGCAGTGAGGTGGACTAAAACTCTAAACCTTCTTTGAAACAATTCATAATTAAAGATCAAATGGTGAAGTTATGAGGGTTGATTAATATTTTCAATACTAGTATTTTTCTCAGTTTTTATTCATATTGTTCATGTAAGTTTTTAAACATTTTCCTTTGTTCTATTTATTTCTTTTGACAAAGACTGCTGCTGTTGTTAGTTAATTATTTTGTGATTTAGCATGGTCAATCGTTAGTTGAGTTCTTCATGGAGTCTTATTAGCCCAGTTGTTTCTCAGTAACACTACACTTATTCCATACACCCTTTTTGTTACTCACAAATTTAGCATATATATTTTCTGGCCTGACATTACTTTCAATTGCATGACTACTTATTTCTGTAGGATTTGCTTGTCTATACAGGAAATGAATACATTATACAGGTTCTGGTCATACTTTCTCAGAGACATGTTTGTTCCTTCTATGTACGATGAATTTAAGAAACTAGCAATGGAGGATGCATTGGCTAATTATTATTACGGGATAGAGTGCCTTTTCAGATTCTACAGGTAATAGCATCAAATTATGTCCTTATTATTTGCTTGGTAAATTTATTACCATCATTATCCTTTTATTTTCTATTCCTCGCAATCTGAATAGAATAATTCATTGATGTGAAATTTTTGTTTATTTATGTTCAAGTTCATCATTATTATGTATAAATATATTATGTGAGGAGAAAAATATGCGGAGGAGGACAACATATCCTCCTCGGAGAAACTGAAATTGTGGGAATAAAAGTGCCAGAAAGTTCTCATCCTTTTGCATGTCAAACAAGGGATATATTTATAAAGCCATGCGTTGTAGAGCACCGAAGAATCACAATCCTGTTTCTTTTTTTGTTGGCCTGGACAATCCTATCTCATAACGTATGTTAGGGCAAAGCTAAACCAGGAAAACAGCTCAAACAAGAAAGATTTATAAAACCATATCGTGCATGTCAAACAAGGAAATTTTATATGAAACTATGCATATACCAGAGAAACTCGACCCTATCTTGTTACTCATGCGAGGGCAATGAGACAACATTTAAGATGTTGACATATTATTTAAACCATGCACAGCAGTGAACCCTCACTGCCACAATGTTATAGTCTAATCTGTTCCAAAACTCATGTATCAGAAGACATCGCTCCAAAGGACATGTAATCAATCAGAATTCCAGCGGCTTATTCCGCAGGTTGCTGCCTGACAATGCAAAAAATAACATATCCCCCCCTCCCCCCCCAAAAAAAAAAAAGGAATAGGAGCAAGTGGAAACTGCATATAAACTAGGCTGATGCAACAGAATTGTCTCAGGAAATAGCTGTGTAAGGTCTGCAGATATGGAGATTTTTATTGTAGAGGACAGATTCGAGCTGCTTTTATAATGACCATTTTAAAAGGTAAAACTTGGGGCACATTGTTCCTCTTGTGATTTTGAGCAATTCCTTGTTTCAGTTATGGCTTGGAGAAGGAATTTAGAGAGGATCTATACAAGGATTTTGAACAGTTGACTCTGGACTTTTACCACAAGGGCAATTTGTATGGCCTGGAAAAATACTGGTAATTAATTAGCTCTTTGGTCTTAAAATTTTACTGCGCAATTGTAATTTATCTCAGGTTGTTTGGGGCTATCACACTATCAATCACTCGTATTTTCTTTTGGTTATGGCAGGGCATTTCACCACTATCGTGCGGTACGGGACCAGAAAGAACCGTTGAGCAAACACCCGGAGCTAGATAAATTGCTCAGAGAAGAATACCGAAGTTTGGAAGACTTTCGAGCTAAAGAAAGAAAGACGGTGAAAGAGGGCATCAACTAAATTATGAGTAATACAAAATCCTTTTGGCAGAGTTTTTGATGGCGTCCCCAGTTTTGAATTGAAATCTAACATGACAGTGAGTTGGAGGAGAAGCGGCCTGCTTTTTAATTTGAACGCAAAGAGCAAGATTATTTTTGTTTGTTCAATATTGGTTTGGATTGCTTAAACCTTGCCTGTGCGAGGGCTGCTGATTGCCAAGCCTCCCAACGTTTCTGAAGCTTCCGAATGCATCCTCTGTTTCCGGGTCATTCGACTTTGAGGAGGATATGTTGTACATAAACTGATAGACTAGTCTAGGAAAGAACCAAAAAAAAAAAACAAGAAGAAAAGAAAAGAGGGGAGAGTCCTTTATTTTAAATGGGAATGGTGTCGAAAAATGTGCAAGGTTTTGTACTTTATAGCTTTGCCAAATTTGCAATAAGACTTGTTTTTAGTGTAACCCAATGTGATCAATCGATCGAGCATCACCAAGTTGAGGCGGGGCTCTGCCGTGGAGTTCTTCCCAGAGATGACAAGGGCCTGCCAAAGCAAAGCATGCAAATCAGAGGGACAAAATCACGGGTCGCATTGGCATGCAAAATTGAAGATGCTTCACCGTAATTCCCGAAGTCTGTCTGCACGATCATAGGTCATCCTTAGCGATGTGCTCCAGTTATATATTTTGCGTGCCAGGCCATTTTAAAGGCTAGCCTCTTCGCTACAAATAAAGTTACATTTTCATCATGGAGAGGCTGCGCAAGAGTGAAATAATGTTCTCTCTTCTCTACCACCAAAAAGGTGTGATTTTGCATGGAGTTTTCCCTTCTCTTTATCTTTTGGAGCGTATTGTTAGCAATATTTCCTTTTTATGGAAGGCATATAACTTGTTCGCTTTGGATCTTACATATGCGGAAAAAAATGAAATGCATATAAGTATATTTAGAGAGAAGCAAAAAGAAAAAAAGAGAAAGAAAAAAGAGAGATCATTAAAACGAGATAATAATTAATAAACCTTAACTTTGATCAAAAAGAAATTAACAAACTTTAAGGCTTTGTTTGGTTGGAGGGTTGTTGAGGGGAGGGGAGGGGTGTGTTTGGTTGGGAAAAATAGAAGGGAGGGGAGGGAGAAATTTGTCTTTTAGTGCTCCCCTCCCCCTCCATGCTCCCCTCCAAATTTGGGGTTTTTTGGAGGGGAGAGAAATATTATGTCTAATATTGGCCAAACTATCCATACTAATTTTTTAATATTCCAAGTTTGTCCATCTTATTAAAAATCTTTTTTCACTTCTTCTCTTTTTAGCCACTAATAATATTTGATAATAATAATATAATAATGTAATATATACATATCATATGTATTAATATATACATATCATAACGTGTGTATTATAATATATATATTATATTGTGTGTGTATTAAAAAAATAAATTAGTCTAAATATAGAGATAAGGGTATATTTGTCAATTTATAATTACCTCCCCTCTCCTCCTCTTATGAACCAAACAAGAAATCTCCCCTCCCCTCCCCTCCCCTCCCCTCCAACCAAACAAAACTATGACCTCCCTTCCCCTCTCCTCCTCCCTCCCCTCCCCTCCCCTCCCCTCCCTTCCATTGAACCAAACAAAGCCTAACATATAAAGGCATTGGGCAAACGCTAAAAGTTGCTTCTCACTGGAATGAGGATTTATTAGTAAACAGGCCTTCGAGATTTGGCTTCAAAGTGTTGAGTTTGAGGATTATATCCGTGTCGGCCTCAACCAGATTGATGAGCAATGTGGCACATATCATAGTGCCTTGTCTAACGCAGCGATCTCATTTTTGCTGTAACCCAATGCGGGGAAAAAATCAACATCACACTCGCAGCTAAAACAGTTTTTCTTACAATCGTGCAGTATATGGAACGCAGCCCAAACCAGAACGAAAGCTGGATTCTGAGGAAGTTCCCATGTTCATACCATCTTGTATTATTGGAACTTAGCATAGATACAACTTTAAAGATAACTGCATGCTAGCAATTCAACTTAGGAAAACAGCAGGCAGAAGGCCAGTTCCAATACAAAACAAAAACTCAAAAGGAAAACAGTACAAAGAAGAAGACACAGCAAAACAAATAAACAATATGTACAGGGTCCTGCTTTTGCTGTATTGAGTTTGCTGCGACTAAGATCGGGGATGCCAGTTTGTCACCCACTCTGTTAAAGTTGCAATATTTCTATTTATGTCTTCAACAGTATCACTCCTTAATGCAATAACTCTGTCCTCTGGGTAACTTTCTTTAGCTTCCTCAAGCAGAACTTGAAAGATTTCGCACTCAATATTGTTGGAGAGCTTCGACTCAGTGTATCCCCTGTTACACAGTTTGAGATAGTATGTAATTTGTATGAGATGAAAAAATTAGTTGTTAAAGAATCATATTTACAACTTCATCCCATACCTCTTGCTCAATCGGTCATACAACACAGTGTTATCGGTTTGAAGTACCACCACAATATCAAACCATCGCTCAGGAAAGAAATCACAACCATGGTAGTCCACAACGTTCCCGCCTCCTTCCATAATGTCTTCAAGCTCATCGCAGACCTACAAAATCCAAGAAATGTAAGTACATTAGAATCCAAGGCAGACTCCCTAGAACGATAAAACTGGACCTGCCACCTTTGGTGTCAGGAAAGGGAACTGAAAAATATTTTCAATAAGTACGTTGACTTCCATTTTTTTTTTTTTTTTTTTTAAAAGAAGGTATTATCATGATATAATATTTTCATGCAGATGCGTGCGATTATTAGTCTTACTAATAAATATACTATCTAAACAAATACTCAATAAGATGAACCCATTCAAACTCTATCAATCCATTAGCCTTTTCGATGTCCTGTGTGTTTTATCTTGGGCCTGATTCAATGGTACGATTCATGCATTTACACCTATGATAGCAATTAAACATGAAATGCAAATAAATATTTTCTTAAGCGTTGATTCATATAGCAGCTCACCAAGTCTTCATTAACGACATAACAATCAAGCTCATCATCCCATCCATCATGCAAGTTCTTCTCTTTGACCAATTCTCCAATATTGATGTGGCGAAGTTGGATAGCTTCTGCTAGAGCAGAGGACATTGTCGTCTTTCCTGTGCCTGGCGTACCAGTCACCAGTATGTTTGGCCTCTTCCTCTGGCTGCCCTGTTCAACCATGTCTATAACCTGCACTCTTAACCAGGCTCTGAATTATGTAACTGATGATAAATAGTATTATCACAGAAGTTAAGAACAAAAGTATTATAGAAGCTTTCAATTTACTGGAACTGGAAATGGACGTCAGTTTCAGTTGAGATGTTTCCATATGCAAAAGACTTGCGAACAGAGAACATAGAATGGCAGGCTTCCACTGAGATTCGGTTGTGTGTATATATATATATATATATATATATATATAAACGAAAGGACCGAAAACTGAACATTGCTTTTCCTAATCCAATCAAATTGAACAAAGATGCAGAAATAAATTACCTCTTACATTGTGCTAACAATTTAAAAGGCTAAGTGGCTCATATTTTGATTTACCCGATCGCATACAAAATTCTTGAACACACTCACTTAATAAAACATTGGTAAACCAAACAAATAATGTGTACAAAACATCCAGTGAAGTTGAAGAGTCCCCCCGGTTTTTTTGGAATAATCTATACTTCTTAAAACCACATGAATTCGTTAACTTAAAGAAAAACACAACCAAAGAAAACAGAAGACTAGAATCACAAAATGAAGATCCAAAAGAAAAAATATCACGCCAATGACAACACATTCCAGGATTAGGATTTGGGAGGGAGATAGGGAGAAGGATTAGCACGAACACGAGACGAACCGGGACACGAAGAACCAGGGAGCAAGACTGAAGATGGAGAAGGATGAGTCGAGCGGAGCAGAGAGAAGGGCACGGTGGCGGTGGAGTTAGGGTTCAGAGCAGGCGGCGGAAGATTGAGATAGTTAAGAGTAGAAGAGGGAGCGTGAAACGGAGAAAGTGAAGAGAATGGAATACCTCAGGAGATGGAAAATGTCAGGTAACGCTGGCGGCGAGAAGGAAAGGGCAGCGTACACAGAATCAGAGACGCAGAAGAAGGGGCATTTGTACAGAAGGCTTGAGAATATGCCACTCACACCGCATCTTTTTACATTATTATTTATATTTATATTGAAATTAAATCTGAGCTGCTGGAGCCTGGAGCTTTTTGATGATACTCCCCTGTATGTCTTACATATAAAAGTTACTTATCTAATTTGAATAAACTAAAAAAATAAATTAAGTTAGTTGTTTATAATAAATAGGTGTTGTTTTTTTTTAAAATGTCTTTATTAATCAAATATATTGACTAGACTACTATTATTAAAAAGATTATTTTAGAAAAAAAATACATAAATATAAGAGAAAAAGTGGATCGGGGTCTTATATTTAGAAACAAAATAAAAATCAAACGAAATATTATATTAAGGACTGGAGGTAATATTGGATCGATGAAAGACGTGTTTATTTTATTCCTTTAATTTATATTTTTTTCCTAATATTATCATATTATATATATATATATATATATATATATATATATAGGATAGTTTTAATGAATAGGAGCCTGTGTTGCTTTGGGTAGACATGGGGAGTGGGAAAGGGGGGAGAGAGGGGGTGGATTGTGAGGAGAGAGATGTAATGTAGAGTTGATTCATAAGTTACAATTTGAGGACTCTCTGTTTCGAGCTGCTCCTACGGATCTCCATCTTCTTCTATTTCCATGTGGTCTTGCCTGTTGATGAGGACGTGGCTGAAAACTATACGATCAAATGGGCTTTTAGAAGCCAACAACATGAGTAAATCGAGAAATTAAGAAAAAAATATTATGGCAATTTTGCACCAAGCAAGCACGCTTAATTAAATTAGAGTTATACTTGATATGAGAACTAGTGGTGGTTTGTTGATTATAAAATGGTAGCCTGTGGGATAAATGGGTTTGTAGCGAGGGAGAGAAAATCATAGCAATTCACGGTGATCAAGATGAATGTATTCTTTCGCTGGGGCGAAAATCCTGTCACTATTCCTCCAGTATGTTGTAGTTGGTTTCGCTAGTTAAAAGTAAAATAGAAGAACAAGTAGAAAGAATGAAACCATCATTAGGCGAAGCTAACTCCCTCTTAAAATATATCTATTAACTTTTTCTTGGCCAACCACTCTTTAATATTGCTACTGGATGGAAAAGTCCCAATTTTCCTTTTTAATCTTCTTAACCAGACCCTGATGTTTCACCAAAAGTGACACCATCTTCGTAGTCAAATACTCAAATTGGACCTGAACATTGATGAAGCTGCTTCTGCCCCTTCTATCTAAACTTAATAGAGCGGGCCAGGCGTCTCCATCAGAACTCAGCATGTGAAGGGGGCCAAAACATGTCATTTTCTCAGGAAACCAGATTTAATCCCCTTTATTTTTGGGGGAACATAACTACGTGCCGAGCCTCTTCTTTTTCTTTTTTCTTTTTTTTCCTTTTAATGCAAAAATGGGTTGTATCCCGAGCTTTAATTTAGCATCTATCCCTCAGCATCCATACCAAAGTGCGTCGCAACATTTTCCTAAATTTCAATGCACTAGCAGACAATTCGGCAAAAGCATAAATAGTAGCTAGCTAAAAGGCAAAGCCATAAGCAATATCCTAGACAAGAATAATAGCAAGTAGTAGGGAACAAAATGTTGCCTTGTGCAAGACCTAATCCCACCAAAAGGTAGTGCTCCATACTTAATTTAAAATGCGTCCAGAAAGGAGGTCTTGATCCTAGTTTTATGTAACTATATAATCCACTATTCTGTGAGTGTTGAGAGAAGATCTGAGGAAAAGGCCTCAACAAAAGAACATGGAGTTGCGGACGTTATCCTGCAATTTGGGCAACTGGGGCACAGGAACCGGTCCAGCAGATGACAGCCCGCCATGGCTCGAAGAAGTCTCAGACTTGTCCTCAAATTTGATCATCTGTCCCATCTGAGTTGCAGCCAAGTGCGCATAGCATATTGGAGCAACTACGATCACAGATATTAAAGCAACCAAAACACACAGTCAGATATGCCCCAAGGAATAGTAGCACTCAAGTAACCAACCATCTAAGAATGGCACGTGTTGCAAGAATTTACCAACAGATATGGCAGTGGTGCTCCGCTGATACCTGTCATTTAACAAGTAAAATCTATTAATAATAGCCTCTTGGATGTAGATTAACATACATATATCATCCCATGAGAAGGCAATCATGAATTCAAGCGTATACTTACACGTATGATAACGAATGCACAAGTGCCTGCAGATCATCAGGCGAGAAACCAATCTCATCTAACAGAACATGGTAATGCGTCGGCCTGGTAGTTCCCTGTGGAGCAAGTTTTCAAAAAGAAAGCAGCCCGCTTATATGTAGGTCCTTAGGAAAGCCAGACTTTAACCGTCCAACAGCATGGTGCAGAGAGGGTGTTTGGGGATGGGAAGATTTTTAAGGGAAGAAAACACTTCAACACAAGCAGTCTTCCCATGTCACTTGAGAAGGACCAGGGGGGATAAGATAAGATACAAAAGTGGCGTATAACAGACCCCAAAACCAACATAAGAAATGACTTACAACAGACTCCAGTCACCAGGAGTTTCTTAATGACCGAAGCTGTCCAACCTCATTTAATTCTACATTGTCTTAAACTCAAGTATCACGAATCAGAAAGCATATTTTTAACATGTGAAATGAGAAGCGCATCAAACGATAACATTCCATAAAGTAGATTAATTATAAAGCATAACATATATGTCTACCTTTACAACATGCACGAACATTCAATGTAATAAATCAGACCCAGTAGATGGGAAATATTTATGTCATAAACTAACTCAATATTTATAAACAACAAATTCTTGAAATAAGTGCAAACAACAGCCGCTTTTTCCTTTACAAAAGGAAAAGGCAATGCTTCAAAACATGCCATGCCAATTTATTGTTTTCACATATTTTTGAATGGTAAAAGGAATGTTATTTTGCCATATCAATTGCCAAGTCAGCAATCGATTGATATTGTTGGTTATATCTTTTATGACTCGCTACAAATTGCAGAGTTGAATCATGAATTTTAAGTCTGATTTGAAGCAAAAGCAATATTTAGTTGAACCTATCAGGTTAATATAGACAATAGTTCAAGAAAACATCTACCTGATAAAAAGCAATATTTGTTTCCCAACTTCACAACTATGAAAAAACTTGTTATGCCAAGAAATACAAAACTGAAAAAGAACTGTGGAGGAAAACAAAATATGTGCGTGTATATATGTAGAAAAAGAAGCACTGTTTTGTCTAAAATTTACAAGTGCTAAGAATCTTAAACATAATCAGTAGCAGTAGCTCCAATCGTGGATTAGCAAAATTTAAAAACAAATTAATCAAATCAAAATGAAAAATAAAAAATGGTAAAAATGAATACGTACGATCATTCCAGCATGTGCACATAAATAAAAGTCATAGTTCCGTGGATGACATATTTTATTATCAATAACGGTTCCTGCAAAACCATACAAACCGATAAAGAGCGAAATGAACATGGACATCAAAATAAGAGATCATTTAAGATGTCATATGAAACATTATACCTGGGGGAACATTGTCTGGAGATGAAGGCTGGAAAAACTTTGTGTGGTGGTTTTTCTGGGCAACAATTACCACAAATTTGGGACACCACTGATCATCAAGAAATTTACAGGCCTAAAAAGCACAAAATTAAAGAGATTAGCCCAACTGAGCTCAAAATATTCTATATTAAAAAACCGTAGTCCAGCTCAAGAACCTCAATGATTTGATTGAGTTCAATGTTCAATACTTGATTGAACTGTGATTCGCTTACCCCATCCCTACGTCAGAAGGAAAAATAAATCACGTAAGGAACAGAATACAAACCATCAGGAACAACCTTTAACGGAAGACTAACACGCCTAAACCACCAGAGGGTGCAAGTTTTCTAGACATGTTAACCAAGACTGATCATAACATGCAAGACATTGAAATGCCAACATCAACCATTCATTGAAGCAATCAAGGCATGCAGCTTATGAAGTCCTAAAAATTAAAACTGCATAGTAAGATATCACAGTAATTAAGGTTAATTTACAACCCCCCCAGGTCAAAACAAAAAAAAAAAAGATGATCGTATTACAAAAATTGGATACTGTAAACTTTTTTATCAATTTCCAAAACAATTATGTTTGTTATACATTCAACAAAAATAATCTTCTAATTAGTAACTTAACCATACATTATTTAAATAATATAATAATATATTCTTTTTAACTTTTTTTTTCCTTTTTCAAAAGAATTCACATTTGCAGTTTGCTAAATTTATAAGAATGACCTTTTTTAATATTGATGAAATCAAATATAATGAATACTTATTATATGGAATAAAAAGGTTAGAAAAGCAGGTAGGATTAACAGAAAAAGAATTTTCTCAGTGCTCCCCGCCAATCATATTTTACGAACATTATAGATTTATTTCAGATGTAGCATTTTATGTATAGATGAATTTGGTTGATGAGTTTTTCTATAAGCGTTGGTAAAATGCCCAAATCATCACCCCCGGGCCAACACACGCCAGTTGAGGTCATTCTTGTTTTAACTAGTATAGCAACTTCAAGGGATTCATGTTGTCATCTTAATTTTTTATTTTAATAAAAAGCTCGAAAAATAGGCAAAGGGCGAAGCTGTAACATACCGGCATTTCAGTACACCGCATATTTTCCCTACTAAAACCCAATCTTCAACATGTTACATGGCAGCTAGGGAACAAATACACAGTTTCCAACATAAATAGTAGATAAAGAAGGACAATGGTGCCAAATGTTTTGGGGTATATCTCTTGATCCTGCAAAAGACCCCCTTCCAAGAAAATACTTCCTGAATCCACGTCTTTACAGGGACATGTACCGTGCTACCGGTATTTTCAAAAACACAAACAATATGGTATTAAATAAGAAA